CCCTGGCGGTAGGTGTGTGTCGGGCGGTGGGGCTGGGGCTGCTCGCCGCCGCGGGAGGACTGAGCGCGGTCAGGCCCAGGCACTGGTACCTGAGCGCTCCGCCCTTCTCCTGGCGGCCCAGGTCCGGCCCGGGCCTGTGTGTGCCTCGGGCTCCGTCGGGGCTGAGGTGCGGCCGCTTCCCGGGTACCTCTGGGCTGAGGCGCAGGGCCTCGCGGGGGCTGCGAAGAGCTGCGTGTTCTGTTTCTCCCTGCTCCCTGATGTTTTCAACAACGGGCGGGCGAGGGAATAAAAGAGGGAGCCCCATGTTCCGCTCCGTACAACAATGACCCTGTGATCCGACTATCGTTTTCCTCGTGTGGGAAAGGGTGGGCCTCGAGGTTTGAAAATCTTGCTCGGCATTTTTGGTGCTGGCTGCGTGTGACGGCTCGCAGTCTTCATGTGCGTAGCTGGATCAAAGTCCTGCTCGGCATCGCGTTCCCCGCTGCAGTTCCCCACAGAGACGCGTGAAAATCAGTGGCTTACTTCTGAAGTCTTTTTCTGGGGCAAGGTGTACGGCCCAGCAGGCCTGGAGAAAAAAAAAAAAAAATACTCCTCTCAGGTACCAGCCTTCCTGCTAAGCGTTTGAAGCCTGAGTCTTATACTTGACGGGGCACTAGGCAGTCTCCCTCATCAGCCTGGCTTCCTGCTGTACCTGAACTTTGAAGCATCTGTTCTGTCCCCCCTCAGCTGTGTTCCCCAGCCTGGAAGAGGGCCTTCATAATGTCAATATTGAAGTCACACATAGAGCTTATAAACACCACACTTCTGCCCATTTTCAAATGTCTGCTTAATTATTTTCAGGATTCCAATTATTAAAAAAATTTAGAAGTGTGGGATTTTTGTTTTAAAGGTTAGTTTATTATGCTTCTGAAGAAAAACCTTTCCAAATGTGAGCCATATGGAGATCTTTTTGTTGTTGCTTTTTTTTTTTCTCCTGTAATGTAGGCATTCTAGGATAACAAGTACATGATATGTCATGTTTTCTGAAATGTTAATACTGAGTTTCAGTGATTTCAGTTGAATGGACTGTTGTAGTACTGTTGGATTATACTACTACTGTACTACTATTAGTTTTTGTGGCAATAGCAAGGTAAATTCTTGTCATTTTTTTAGACTGTAAGAAGAAGTTAATTTATTTGTAGTTTCTTTCAATAGCTGCTAATGTTGCGACTAAGGCTTTGAAACTCCTACCCATGGAACTTTGCCTTTGTCTGGACTCAAAAGTAAGTCTACATAAGGTCACATTCTTCTAGCATTAAGATTTTAATTGAATCAGAAATACTAAAAATAAAATCAAAAATTCTTGAGAGGTTTTGTATGAAAAAAGTGACAAATAGCCTCTTATTCAAATAAAATGAATACCAAACATTCTGGTCTCTCTTCTCTAAATATATTTAAAATGAAAATGTATTTCAGTAGTCAAAATTCTGTATTATGAATGGAATAAACTTAGAGTGATGTTCTCTCTTTCCATTTAAGTTGTAAGCAAATTTTAATTTTTAGGTAGTCTTATTTCAGACTGAAGTGTATATAATTTTTAAAAATACAGATAATAGAGAGATGGGCAGATACCATTTGGGAAGATAACTGTATTTTATTACCTACAGAGGAAAATGGTAAGGAATGAAATCTCTATCAGGACTGAGCTACAATAAGACTTTCAGCTGAGCTTTTCAAGAGGAATTAAAGCAACATCTTGAAATTTCCTGTTCCTTTTACCCATGTAATTTTTTTCACCAGATAGCTTGAAGATTTATTTTAAGAATCAGTAGAATTTCTGTAATTGAGAGTAGTGTTACAGTTACATCCTGACCAATATTTGGAAATTTGAGTGCAATAAAATTAAAAATTGAGTGCGTTATTAAAATAGGAAGAATCAGAACCAACGGCTTAGTTTGTGGGTACACCTTATGTTATATTTATAATATATATAAAATAGTTTATTTATAAACTTACAGAATGTGATAGGAATCACAAAGAAAATACTTTGCTTATTTCAGTTTCTTGCCAGCAGATTTTAAGACCTAAAGGAAGATGTCCTTTTTCCCTAAAATTGCTTTCCTATATGAAGTTGAAGAGTATCTCACCAAAGTGTTCAGAAATAATGAGGTATGTGACACAGTTACCCTTGACCATTAAAAAATAATAAATTTTTGTGTAACTTTAGTACCTTACATTGAATATTGTCTTCACATTAAACAGTTTTTAATATAAAATATTTTTTATACTTAAAATATAATATTAGTATTTATGCCTATTGGCTCAAAGTAGCATACAAATACTTAAATTAAATGGAATATAAATCAGAGAATTCCATTTTGGATCCCTCTGAAAAGTGGACTGTAGATAATTAAGGACATATTAACCACATAATATTGACAAGAAGTACTCTCTTACCCCAGTGTAGAATACAGACAATCTGTTAATTCCTAATGCCAAGGATAAATAATTGCTTTTTTATATACATTTTTATCAGTATGAAAGTTACTGATTCATAGATTTGAATTTACTCTTCTATTTCCTTAGGGCTGGTCTATGTACAATAGCAGGGAGCTCTCTAGCAGTTGCTTTGATACTTGCTGCAAAATCTTTGCAGTGATTTTGCTGATACAGCTGTTTTTCCAATAAGTATTTCTCAAGAAATTGATGAGGCTTCCAGTGGAATTAGGCTTCCAGACACAGGCATTCATCACTACTGCACACCACACAACCATATCCCTCAATATCTATGGGATGTTTGTTCAGTGGGGTTCTTTTGCATTGAGCAAGAGGCTTCTGTGTGAATCTCTTAATATAAAATCTCTTCTTTCACTTTCAGCTTATCACTGCTTTAGGTACACAGGAGGCCGAGAATAAATACCAATCTCTGTTAAGTCATCTATCTCATCCACCAGCTTTCACAACTGTAAGAGTAAATACCCACTTGGCCTCAGTGAAACATGTGAAAAAGTTGCTGTTTGAAGAAATCCAGAAGGTTTGTGCAATTTCTTTGTTACAGCAAAAACAGCAGGGCTTTTCATCTTTCATCTGAACATGAGACGTTTTCATTACTGGAAAGTCTACCTTACTTAGCTCAATGCATCCAGTGGTATTAACATCATACAATCACACTGATTTCCTGTCAGCATATAACATCAAATGAAAATTCATTATGTACCAGTATCCCTCATCTCATCCCTCCAAGAAAGGCAATAACAGAGGGAAAAGACATTTAACTCTTTCATTTGGCAGATTCCAAACCCTTGATAGGATTGAGGTACTGCTGTGGTAAATAATGTAAAGGTGTTGCAAGTCTATAAGAGAAGATGACAGATAAAAAGGGTAGCTCAGTGTTCTATCTTCAGCATGCTTAGACAACTTTTATTTAAGACTAAAGGAGAAGGCCTCTATATCTCATCAGAGAAACTGTTGAGGAAAGGGAGAAATTTGGTATGTTGTAGGAACTGGAGCCACAGTGATGCCCTGCAGCTACTGTATTTTCTTTTTTTAAACCTGCTTTTCATCTTTATATAATATTCTGGATTTTTACTTATCTTAATTAAACATATATTTATCTGATGATATGTAAACCATTGTGTTTAAGAAATGTATTATTTTGAAATTGTGTCAGATCTTCACTCTGTCTAAAAAGATCTGGTTCTTTAAGGAAATTATTAGTTCTAGTGGGTGTACAGGGAGCTTTTTCATGACAGGAGCCAAGACATTTCTGTGATGCATAGGTAGTTGACAGAGTTCTGCTGGCTGGGATGGTAATGAGTTTTGCTAATTTTAGCTTGATTGTAGAAATCTGGGAATGGATATTGCAGGGTTATATTTTGCTTGAAGGGAAAAGGCTTTGCTGAAAACTGACTTAAGATCAGTTTTTCACAAACTTCTTGTATTTTTTAGTGTTATTATATGTTAGAAAAGGAAACCACATAACACTTTTGAGTGGAGGTATGATCATGGATTATTTTCCTTTTTTAAGAGAAAATATTTATTAGATGCAAACTGATTTATGGTTTTACATACTTCAAGGTTATATTTTAGAAGGCTCAGATGAGAAGACATAATTTTGTTTAAATCCAGGAACCTTTTGGCATTTTTTTTTTTTTTTTTCAGGTAAATATGTAACTCAGCTGTCAGTACCCAAACTTGGGCTGACAAGAAAAATGAAAAGTATTGCCAGCCTGGCCTATTAAGTAAGACAAGGAATACACAAATTAAACAGTGGCTTACAACTAATAACATATAAGAGTTAACAGAGAATACACCCAAACTTCTAAGGTGGTGTCACTGTGTGTTCTGACAACAGCTCAACCTTCTTCCAGAAGAAAGCAAAAATCAGTGAGAGGGTTATGCATGTCAGAACACTCTCACACTCCCTGAAGTCAGTTCTCAGGCAATCTCTTTGTGGTCTTGTTATTTCTGAATTCACTAAATGTTTAGTCTTTCATACCAGTACTTTTAATATCTAATGTCCCCTTGCACACTATTTCCCAGCTGCTTTTAACTGTTTACACTACTTTTGTGCTTTGTACTCTACATCTATAAATTATGAATGGAAAAATGGTTTTCAGTTTAATTATTTAAATATTAGGTTTATTAGTAGTGCTTACTAATTATATTTTTTTAATAAAACAGCAATTTAAAGGACTATGTGTTCCAGTTCTCGAGCACCCAAAACTTCAGGACATTTTATTAATTCCTGTTATTGGACCCAGGTTTGAAATTTTCAGTCTTTTATGTTTCTAAAGAATTTTAAGTTTTTAAGTCTTAAAACTCTTTTAGCCTTAAAATGTTGTGTAACACAATTTTCTTCCAGATTTCTCATGAAACAGTTATGATAACTAACTCACTATAACTGAGGTACAACTTTGTTTGTATTATGTCCTGTTGGACAGTCCATTTACTAACCAGGTCACAGTTTTAGTCCTTAAAAATGAAAGAAAATATAGATTTCTGTCCTTATTTATAAGACTGATGTTTTATGGGGAAAATATGTAAGCATCCTCCCTGGTAAGGCAGGTAGATGGCAGATAGAGGAACTAAATTTTTGCAGTGTAATACAGAGCTATAGCTAAGTACAGGAAGGGTTTTCTTCCACTGGAAGAAATCAGGTGGAATGAAGAGTTACTCAGCAGTTGTTAAACACAAAAAATCACTTCACAATCATCTGACGCAGGAAGGGATAGATTTCCACCCCAATATAATTTATTTGTATTCTTGTGCCAGGTTCATAATAGTGGCAGAATGTGCCAGAATCTGCATTATTTTGAGGATTGATTTTGTTCTTGACTCTTTCATTTGATTTCTCTGGGACTAAAATAAATATTTCAATGTTATACATGATAGTTAACTTCTTTATTATATCTGACAAAATGCATATTTGTAAACTTGAGTTTACTTGGGGAGCATTTGGCTTTTTTTTTTTTTTCAGTATACTTCTCTTTTTTACTCAACTACATTTTGTATTTCTAGGCGAGATTTAAAAAAATATTCATCTGAAGTCATAGTTGGAGCCCAGTGTGGATATGCAGTACTTCGAGGAGCACACGTTTATGTCCCTGGAATTGTGTCCACCTCAAGATGTAAGAGTTCTCTAAAGACACCCAATTAAGTTGTAAAGATGGCAGAAAAAGTATCACCCTTGGATAATAGATAAATGAATAGTGACGTGAAATTGTTTTCTAGTCTAAACTGAAATTAATCTTACAGTTACGGTTTATGGTAATGACACTTTTTAAAGTTTTTCTGGCTTTTAAAAAAAAAAAAAATCACTATTTTTCACTCATTTTCACTCATTTTACTTGGAGTAAGTTATATGTAATTATTTCTCACTGGCCTGGCCTGTTTTAAAATCCTTTTCCCATATAATTCATAGCTGAAATACTAGTTTCTCAAGGATTTCAATTTCTTGGTTTTCATTTCAAAGTATTTTTAAATAGAATTTTCAAAGTAAAACCTGTTTTTTTAAGAGTGGTTTTTTACTACTGAATACTGTAACTTTTAATATGGGTGTTATGTTGAATAAGCTTACAAACTCAGTCACAAAGTCACTTGCCTTCATGATTCTGATAGATTTGAAGTTACAAATCTAAAAAACCCCACATTTTCTTTTTTCTAATCCATAGGCAATTCATTTGATATTTTTTATGTAAGAGAGATATAGTAAAAATCTTCTTTTCATTGATCGGAACAATCTTCAGTTTTTATGTCAGATTCTTAAGAAATGGAAATTATGAATCAATGCCTGTGAGACAAGATAAAAAAATCTACATATGCATGATTTTTGTTCAACAGCCTATTTTTGTTATTTAAATGTCAAGTTAACTTTATGTAAAATCAGTATAATTTTGGATGATTCACCTTATTATTCTATTGTGATGAGATCTAGTGATTATCTTGATTTTTATTATTAAACAAAATGAGTCAGAAAAGCATTTATCAAGTCACTTAGTTTCCTTTCAGGAAAAAACCTTCAAGAAGTTTTAAGCATGTGCTTAAGTCAAATTCACTGAACAGGAATGTTTTTCAATCTAGGGCTTGATAATGAAATAAGTATATTGGCATAGCAGTTGTTGAAACTGCTTATTTAGACAACCCCATAAATATTCAAATCCTTCTTTGAGTCAGCTAGTGATTTATCATAATTGCTGCATGTAATTAAATAATAAGAAAATAAAATAAAAGGGCATGCTACCCACTTGATGCCAAATATAATAAGGCTGTATTAAGCACAGATGGTCTAACTTGTGGTCTAAGGAAAAAAAATAGTACAGCAAGAACACATTTAATCACTGCAATGCAATCCAAATAAGGGTAAACTAATGATCAGGGGGCTTTTAGATTAATTTAACTAATCAAACTCTAACCTTTATGTTTATGGAATGCTGGTATAATCTGCAGAAAGCTTAAGAACTCTATGCAGGACTAGTGTATTTAGAAAGGATGATTGTCAGCAGAGAGCGAAAATTATTTATGTTTGAATACTGCAAAAATCATTGATGGATATGCTTGATGGAAGAATTTAGTTGCTGCAGGTTCAGTGAAGTTTAAGCAGACATTAATACTGAGCAATCACATAATGTTTTGTGTCACATTGTGTAAAAAGAAGTAGTGTGAAAAATGTATTTCAATGACTAGCCAAAAAATCTTAATATTTAAGAATTTCAGGGCATTTGGGCATAAGAAGGCCACTTGAAAATGGAAAAAAGGATTCTCTAGTACAATTCCAAGAGTGCTTGGGAAGCTGATTTGCCATTAGTCTTGTATCTTCTTGTTCCTTCAGCCTGTCAGTCACCTCAGAAATGCAATTTTGGACAATTTTTTTTATTGCTATCAGAAGAGACCTTTATTTTTAAGCATATTTTTCAGCCTGTCAACACATAGTGCTTGTTCACTATTCTGTAAAATCACTTAAACCACCATCCCTTTTCTAACTCAGAAAGTTTGTTAAGTCTTTAGGATTACATTTCTAGATTTTGATGTATATTGACATACTTTACTGATCTGGTGGGTTTTAACTGGAGATATAAAACTTTCTAAAAGGATTATTGAGAACAGCAGTTCCCTTGGAGAACTTAAAGAAGGGAAGAGAACGAGACCAGAACAAAAATATATAATGAGTTGTGTCAAAGCAATAAATAGTTGGAGAAAAAGCAGCTATAGCTATGTTGTAGGTAGCTATTGAGAGGTCATTAGATAAATTTAGCACTCCTGTCCATGTTCACTACGGGTGAGCAGTGTTTTTTTCATGTACTTGTGTCCTTGATCCACACAAGGAGGACTGGATTCTTTAGAGTGTGCTTAAAACTTTTGGGTGACCCTGGCATGATAAAATAAATAAAGTGCAGGTTTGTGTAGCCTCTTTGAAAAGGACACAGTGCCTGACTTGAAGCTTGGCGTCTCTCAGTACCACCAGTCTTTTGTAGCCATCATTCACTGTGTAAAACTTGAAAGCTTTATAACAATTGATCTTCATTGATTACATTAAGAAAATGTGTGTTTGGTATGATAGAAGAGTGTAGTCTACTGAAAATCCTAAGTTACTTGGTCACTAGCGTTTTGCTAATTGTCATAATGATTTCAAGCTTTCAAGCTTTCAATTTTTCTTTGTGCAGTTGTGAAAGCAGGAGATCTGGTTTCAGTGTATTCAGATATTGAAGGGAAGTGCAAGAGAGGAGCCAAAGAATTTGATGGAGTCAAAGTTTTCCTCGGAAACGGGATTTCAGAACTCAGTCGCAGTGAAATCTTCAGTTCAAGTGGCCCACTGAAGTAAGTCCATAGTAATTGCAATCTACATGTAAAAATTTGCAAAGTGAAGGAAAAGTAAGGGAAACACTTTGAATTATTTTGTACCCTATGTGGAGTCACAAAATGGCTTTGCATGTTGGGATTTCCAATATTTTTTGGGAAGCCGTTAGTTTCATAGTAGGATGCAGATACAAATTTACTTGAGAGATTGGTTTTTTTTTATTTTTGGTGGGACAAAGGACAGAACATAAGGTCAGTTATCTTAAAAAAATTACTAACATTTGTCAAAATCCTTACCTGTTTCAAGATTACTTGCTTTTCTATTTTCTATTTTGTTGATGAAGCATATGGTTTATTCTTCTTGTGTCACTTACAGCACACATAAGAAATAATGTAAAAGACTATGGATGTCAAATTAATGGCCAAGACTTTACTTCCTGAGAACAAACTACAAAAGTTCTAGTGAACGAAAAGTACATTGCCAGAGAATTTCTGTTTTATGGGAGCTTAAATATAATAGAAATAGTGGTAGGATGTACCTGTTGAGTTGGTGACACGGATCACCAGTATGTAACACTAAATCTGGTGTCTGCAGTTTGGCTTTCTCATATCCTTCCTTATTGTTGGATTGTCTGGTACATATGCAAAATAATATTTGTTGTCTTTAGTAATCCTTTTCAGCCTCAGTGTTGCTTTTTCAGTGTTCTCTTTATTGTTACCCATTTCCTGGTACATTGGTTTAACAATTAAATCGACATCAGAATTTCATCCATATTTAAAACTTTTAGGTGACTTCTAATTTTAAACCATAGGTTTGCAGGCAAATCAATGTTCTTGCAAGGCTTTTCATATAGGATTTCTATAGTAATGTGACTGAAATCTCTAGAATTTAGGAAATAGAGAAAAATCTTAAGTAGGATTACATCTTGGTTTATTCTGTGTACAGAACCACAAATTTGCTTTATGCAGGTGATGGTTCCATTTTGTATTGTAATGCATTTTTTGCCATGATTTACCCAACCTAATGATGTAATTTTAAAAAATACCATATTACAAAATCATACAAGTATTTTTCTTGGTTGTTCTTTCATTTTTGAAATGAAAATTTCATTTAAGAAATGAAAGATTGTTGTCTCAAGTTGTTATTTGTAAGTATAATGAATTTAATTGACTACTGTTAAAATGTATAAAATGGAGTATTTGATTTTTTTTTTCATGTTTTTCAGGGGCCTGGGTGTAAGAATGACAGAGCCAGTCTACCTCAGTCCTTCATTTGACAATGTGCTCCCTAGTCATTTGTTTTTACAGGTATGTTTGTTCCAAAACCAAAAGTCTGTACTATGTACAGAATAATGAATATTCTCTTAGCACACATTCATGGTTTCTACATTCCTTGTGCATTGTAGCACCTAGTTCAGCCTTTGGATTTGAGGAACACAAAGCATTTAAAATGAAGTCAGTATCTACATGTAGGTGGTTTAATCATACTGTGTCTGAGATATGATAAGGGATTTCAAAACAACATAAGAGGTATTCGCTTAAAAACATAGAGATTCCTCTTGCACAGATACTCTGTATAGAACTATTAGTCTTTGGAATCTGCTTATGAACTCTGGAATATGAGCCCCTTTCATGGTACAGCATTCTGTAGATAATCAGGAAAATCTCCAAATATTAGGTTGACTTGAAGCTGTTATTTAAGTACCAAATACAACTTTAAAAGGTTCTTATACTTTTGTGTTGAACTAAGAAGAAGGTATTTCCATATTGTCTAAGGTGCAGTACCGTGCACAATTCTTACACATTAGTTCTCTTCAGTGGAGCTGTTCTGTTTATACAATTAATAGCACAGTTTAGCTTCTTGCTACTTTAGTTCAGCAAGCTTAGACTTCTGTGTTTTGATCTTACTGTTCTTTATCTGCACCAATATGTTAATACAGTAAATGTTCCAATAAACAGGTTACTATAAAAGATTTGTAATAAACAGAGCTGCTCTCCTCTGTGCCAGTATCAGCTTATTTTATTTGGACTTTTAGAACTGTAGTCTCCTCAGTCATGAGCTCTTAAACTTCAGTCATAGATACTCAGACATAACTTTAAATAAAAAATGAGCCACTGGGGACTTCTGATGTAAACTGTCCATTATATATAATGCAAATAGTTCCTTTTCTGTGAAAGAACTGAGCAATATCATAGGTATCTTCACTGCTGAATAAATTATTTTTTTAAATGTGTTTGCCATTCCTTAATAAAGAAGTCAGTGAAGGCTATATAGTTTGAATGCTCCTGTATTTATTTTTATGATAGAATTTACCTTCTGTGGTTGTGAGCCACGTTTTAAACCCTCAACCAGGGGAGAGAATTTTGGATATGTGTGCTGCACCTGGAGGAAAAACAACCCATCTTGCAACATTGATGCATGACCAGGTAGGAGAAGTGATTTGTTATTTCCTAAGGAAGGAAGTCTGACCACTGTTCATTTATATAGCTCTCTTCACTTAACTGTTGGAATGCACAAATAATTTACAGCAACAAACAATATTTTGGCATTTTACTTACCAATGTATTTTACATATCAGAGTTACTGAAATGGGCTTATCAAGTATTCACCATCAGCTTTAAAATTTTATTTGCTACAAATTGACAGTTAAAATATGTTTACTTTCACTTTTTAAAATGCTACTGAATTATGTTTAATCATAGAACTTTTTACATGCAAAGCATAGTTATACAAGAATATGCTGGATTCATGAAACTGAGATGCATAAAAATGTGTACCAAAGAAACACATAACTCTACAAAAACTTACTAAAAAGCTCCTAATCTGATTAGGATTTCTCTCAGTAAAAATTATCAATTCTGCATAGAATATGATAGAGATATAATTTTAGGCTGAATTTCTAGTCTGAATTTGTCATTCTGTGGTAGAATGTCACAAATCCAAAACTATCTCATGAGAAAGTAATAAAAATTAGAAGAAGTGAAAAAAAATATGTAGAGAAAGACAAAGGAAAGGAGAATGTAATAAAATAAGAATGTGGATACAGGATTACAACTTCGCATATGTTAAAATGTTATGTGCACAGTGAAATACAGAAATGCAGCTTACTCTTCTCTTGCACAGGGGAAAAGCATGTCGTATTTCTTCTAAAATTTTGTAAGGCTTCACTTTTTTTTGTTGAATAGGGTTACTAGAATATATCAGGTTGTTTAGAAGTCTTGCAGTTACATTATGCAGGACTTTGACAGTTGCCTGTGCATAAATGTGAAGGCAACAGCCTGTAATGGTATGAATGTATTGAGAAAATGCATGTTTTCAGTTCTGTGACCGTTTGTCTGCAGAATTGTTTTCTTCCCTCAGTATGGAATAATGGCAGAAAGCATTAAAAATGCATTAGATGGTCATTAGGAATTTATTGTATACATACATAAAGTTTCCAGTAAAGAATTTCAGTGTGATAAACAAAGGAAGTCTGCAAATCATGTATTTATGTTGTGGATTCATTTACATCTATACTTTTTTCCATCTGTGTATCTACATTCTGTATAACTTTGCAGAACTGCTTTTTCCTTAGCCACTTTGCATATTTTGATTGTGCCTACCTGTAGCTGAAGTGGTAAAGATTAAAAATACAGATGTTGAATATTTTTCTCACTTGATTTTTGTTTTCTGAGTATGTAATTTTAGTTTAAGATATGGAAGATAAAGATATGGAAAAAAGCACTTCTTTTTGAATTTTAAATTTCATTCACAGCTTTTCGATACTAATTTTTCACAGACAGCATATTAAACCATTAACATTTCAGAATATTTAAATCACTCTTACTTTTTTATGATATAATTGTAAACATTACTGTATTCTTTTAAATGATGTAACCAAGATGTAAAATTACTCTGTAATGTTAAGAGCTCTTAAATAAGAAATGGGAATAGTTAAAGCATGAGAATTTATTATTTTCTGCATCCCAGTCTAGACTTCTGTTTTTTCCAGATGACTTTTAAGTAGTTATTCTCTGGCAGTGGCTGGCATGGGCCAAATGGAGAAGAGTTGTCTTCCAGCTTGTTCCTTTCTCTGGAGAAAAGAACAGAGAATCTGTGAATAGCCCATACCTGGAACTGTTCAGGGCCAGCTTGGATGGGGCTCTGAGCAACCTGGTCTAGTGGAAGGTGTCCCTTCCCATGTCGGGGGACTTGGATTAGATGATCTTGAAGATCCCTTCCAACCCAAACCATTGTATGATTCTGTCATCTCTTTATCTCTTCAGTATGCAGAGATGTACAGCAAATCTACTGTTCTTGAAACAGACAAAACTTTGAAGCACAGTCAGGTCCTAGTGTACATGTCCAATAGGTTGATGGTGTTAGGGGACAAGCAGTGGCACGTGGTTCTTGGGTGCACCTGTGGGAGGTGATTTGGCTCACAGTAGCTGAAGACTGGACACCACTGACACAATCTAAATCTATTCTTACCTCTCAGTTCTAGATCTACATATTGCCTAACATGACATACAGATAACAGCTTATCTTTACTGATTTATTTTACTTCTGAAACTATCTTTGTCATGTTACCATTCTATAAGCCTCTGGAGAGACATCACAAAATAGAAAAAAGTTGTTTTCTCAGCATACTGCATTTGCTGTAGCAAGTCTAGTATAAGTTTTTGGTTGTTGGGTTGTTCTGGATTTTACTGGTACTACTGTTAACTTTCCTTTGTCTTCACAGATTTCATGTAGAAGGTAGTGTTGCGTGTCTTTTTCGATTTATTTGGGGGGAGGAAAAAATAAATCTTACTTTTACATAAAAGAAATCACGAGTAATTGTGATTTCTCTCCCCTCACATCTAAACTTATTCTAGTATTTACACTATTTCCAGAAGTAACTTGAGTGACAAGTACCGCAAGTGTTCCAGTATGTTATGAGTCTGAACAAGTTTGAGACATGGATGTGGGCCTCATTTCCTCAGCACTGAGCTGTAGTGTGATCATACTTCCTTACCATCTCCATACAACACAAATTTAAAACCTGTTAACCTATTTTACTGTGTATTTGAGGCTTCTACCCTCTTTCAAATTATTAAATTTGTGTCTTTGTGCCCAGTTAAACAGTTCAAAATAACTGAAAAGAAACAAACAACAAAACCACTTACCAGAAGTCAGATATTACAGCATCCCTTAGAGTAACAGTGACATGCAGTTGGAATGTGCACAGCTTCAGACTAGTGCGGCAATTGTGGAAAACATGTGGAACAAGGACTGCAGGAGTGTAGATTTAAGAATAAAATGATTCTGTAGGGAAGACTATGCTTTATTTATTACACTGCCCAGGGTTGAGGAAAGGAAATCGGGAACATCCATGTAATCCCTATGCCCTTGATGACAACTTCTGCATATTTTTCAGGGTGAAGTAATAGCCATGGACAAGATAGCTAACAAGGTCAAGAAAATCAAGCAGAATGCTGAATTGCTACAGTTGAATTGCATTAAGGCCTTTTACTTTGATGGGATAAAGGCCCTTTCAGTTGAGAAGAGAGAGGATAAACAAGGTAAAAAGAAAAAAAAATTGGGTAGTAGTCGCTTTTAGAAGAAAATAGTAATGTTTTGCAAAGACATTATTAAACCTGTCACAGGTTTGCAAGTCCTTGAAATCTTGGCAGATACCTAAGTTGCTTCAGCAGTGTGAATGCACTTTTATTTTCTATTCTTCTGTGATTATCAGCTTCTCTGTGAAGCAGATACAAAAGTAAAATTATCTGTCCTTGTCACAACCTAATATTCTCAAAGGAAATGCATTCCTTTCCCAGATAATACTGCAGACTGAAGAAGCCTTAAAGCTTCTTTCATGATCACATTTAACCCCATACTGGGAATTTTCTGAGCTAGTCTGAGAAAAAATTTTTTTTGCAGACTTGCTTTGCTTTTCTGCCTCATAATCCTCATCAGTAAAATGGGGTTATTAATACCTAACTCCCAGGAGTGATGCAAGGTTTAGTTCATTGATGTTTGTTCAGCTGTTTAGGGGAAAGTTATATACAAGCACAGAGTATTATTTTAAGTAATTTCATTTGCTTTTCTGAAGTGATGCAGTTACGATATTGGTTCTGTTCCCATGATGGAATGATTTAAATGGTATCTGCTGCCTTGATTATTTTTAGTTTGTTGTGCAAAGTATGCTGTTCTTTCTCAGTCTATTTTATCTCAGTCACTGGTTAGCCTAAGTAGGAATCAGATTACATAATTCACCTTCTTTGTCCCTTTGCATTGCAGTTATTCCTGCTTTGGAGGAACAAAGGTACTTTCTTAAGAGTCTTCTTATGAACATCAAATATTGTAGGTGGCAAGTAGCAATTACAGAGATGAACAAGAGCAAGCTGTAATACTGAGAGATAATGAAGGCTTTTCTATACATCCCTGAAAGTAACACTTTACATATTTTGAACATTTTAGTAATGGATCAGAGGTAGATAAACCAGTTAGACTCATTTTGTATTGCAGGAACAAGCTAGGTAGCAGTAGTGTGATGATACAAGTTTGGCAGCTCCCTGGCACTGAGGAGGTAGCAACTTCTGGGCTGTTGAGCTACAGATTAAAGTATAGGCTCTGCTTAGAGAAGATACATATTATCATCCAGGTGATAGTCAGAAATTGTTCTTTTCACAATCCTTTTTTTACTGAATTGTTCTGTCATGGAGGCATCATGTCATCTCACACATTAGAACTTGCAGTAGTTCATGTTATTATGAAGCGCTTTATTTTATATAGCTATGCATGCATCACAAGAAACAGTTAATATATAGACAGTCCAATTATTATAAGGCAGTCTCAATGCTTAACTACAGGTTTCTCTCACTAAAGGTTTGCACACTTTTGAGCTGACTGTGGTTCTTTACAGCCTATATGTACAACTCTACAGGTGTACAACTCTAGGTGTACCCAGCACCTCTGACATTTCCACTATTTGGATTACTTTTACATTTTACTTTTAAATTATGAAATTAAGTTTAAAACTAGAGGGATCATTTTTGAGCTCACAGAACTTACACTGTTTAGTTTTCTGGGAGATGAAAACTACCACCTGCAGTTCTGAGACTTGTCTCTAGCTGAGACTAATTTTGGAGACACTGTCCATAGCACATAAATGTTTTATGTCATGGAAGTAGTAACAGCTTCTCCTTACCTATGGTGAAGTCTCAAGGAAGGAAACAGCCACATATTACATTACTAACTTCTTTTTACAGAAGGGCCTCCATTCTTACCAGAGTCATTTGATCGAATTCTTCTTGATGCTCCATGTAGTGGGATGGGACAGAGACCAAACATGGCTTATTCCTCAACTTTAAAGGAAGTGACCTCATACCAGCCACTCCAGCGCAAGCTTTTCACTGTGGTATGTGTTAAACATTGAGTAGATAAACTAAATTGAACATAAATGCTTTTGCTGCATAAAACTTATCCAGAAAACGGTACCTCATTTTCCCTACTTTTTCAGCAGCCAGGAAGTATTAGGGTCCTTGTAAACCTCTCAGCTACAGCAGATCTGTTGCTAGGTGAAGCCAATTCATTGGAGCATGGGAAAGGTATATGTAACCTATATGGAAATAAAAAGCTTTGTGTTCTTTTAATTCCCTCAGTTTCATCAGTTTTACATTATAATAATCACAAGGGTCTAAGTCACAGAGCAGGTGACTTAGGAACATGCTAAGGAGTGTGCTTGGGCTGATGCTGAAGGATAAGATGAAACTTGTCAAAATCTGAATGATACATATTCAGAGTGAATGACAGCTTGAAAAGCAGCATAGATATAGCTTCCATGCCAAATACATGGAAACAGTTGACATCTAACAAAACTGACATAAGTATTGTGTATCCATGGCTGGCAGCAGGTGGTGAAAACAGATCTAATCTGTCTGGGATATGGAGAGCTGTACAAATAACAAATCTTACAAGGTGAATCATCTCAATGACATTAATAAACTGCATGAGCTATAATGCCTATTTGGAAAGAAGAATCTTTCTAATCCATGTTATCCTTTGCCGTATTCCCTGAGAGGAATTAGTATCCTAATAGTTTAATTAAGTGCTCAGTTTTAATATTCTAGATACATGGGTTATTAGTTAATGTTCCTTAATTTGAAAGTTTTAAATTTAAAAATAAGCTGAAATATTACTTATTTCTCCCTGCAGGCAGTAAAGCTGCTGAAGCCAGGAGGTGTTTTAGTATATAGTACATGTACAATTACACTTTCTGAAAATGAGGAGCAAGTTGCTTGGGCCCTGAAAACTTTTCCATGCCTCCAGCTTCATCCACAGGTAATACTATTTTCAGGGTATTTTTTTTCACCATGAACAGTTTGAATTGCTGTGGATAGAAATAACAGGGATTTCTGAGGCATTTTTAAAGTCTATTTTTGTGCTTAATTGAGCTTTATTTAGGCATCATTAAGTAGTTTCCCGCTGTGTATTGTGGGTTTTTTTTTGATTTGTACAAGTCCTTTTAAAACACAACAGGGACAAAAGATGGGTCGGACAGGTTAAAATTTCTCTTGCCATTTTTTTAATGCATATATTTTATTCTCCTTTTGCACATTCACAGGAGGGGCAAAGTTGTTTTCTTTTTATTACTGCCATGAAGTCATGAAGACTTGCATGTAATGTATGGGATAGAAATTAAAATAAATTAGTGTTTCAAAGATGGAGGATGTTATATGTACAGGAGCTATTTTTGATTTATTTAAAAGGAATGAGGGAAAGAAATTATTTCAGGCTCAGTGTCCCAAGAGTGTACCTTGTCTTTTTTGGAGTTAGTGTCTACTCTTAAGATGTCTGGGAGGAGGTAATATATAGGGAGATAATGGAATTTTTTTATCTACACTAGCTACAGTTCATACAATTCAGAAATATCTGTTACCTTTAACAGTACTTCAGGGGGGTTTATCATCAGACCACGTGTGTCCCACTTCCTCTTTGATGATGAGATGAGCTGGGTGGGGTAGTTGTTTATCATAATGGCTTTGAGGAAAACTCTTTTCAGTTCCAGTCGTTTCAACTGAGATTGTACATTTAACCTAACAGCATAAAACAATTCTCCTTGATAGAATGACAAAGCAAAACACAAGCCTTATTAACTCAAATGCAAGATTAATTATTGCTATACTTTCTCTCACCAGTAGTATTACTCTTGAATAAAGCACTTCTGTCTGTCTTTCACACACAAATGCCATATCTGTAAAAATTAATCTTTTATGTATAGTATTACTTAAATGAGATGACACTGAATTGTTTACCCACATATCATTTATAATACCTTATAACCAGTTCCCTTCTAGTTTAAACTAAGGTGCTCTTTTCCAATGAACATGAAACAGGAGTCTAGCTAGGGTCTACTTACCTCATGTTCCTTTATATATTTATTTCCCATATTCTTTAGTCTCAGTGGACACCTCCTTTTTTATCCAGTCCACTGTTTCCCACTTTCTGAGTTTGGCAATATTTGGAAGCATATTGGGTAATGTTGGCAAAGAAAAAACAGGAGATGGAGCCATAGGCGTTGTTATAGGTAGAGGTTACCACATGGCAGCTGCTCCTTTGTGCAGACTTCCTCTTGGGAGTTTACACAGTAGATCAACTTAAATGCAATAACTTAACTGGAAGGAAAAATGAAAAGGTAGAGGAAGACACTGGTCTGCCTTTAAGCAAGTTACTTGAACCTGTGGAATACTGTTTTCCCTAGACTTTTACCTTTCCCTCCTTCTATTACATCAAGTCATTACCCTCATCTCCTTTTGTATGTTACTTTTCTCTCAATTTGCAATAGACACCTCTGTCTTTTACCTGGAAAGCACTGAAATCCTGCTGAGGGAAAGGAAGAACCAGTCTGCAGCCCCTTGGCTGCCCAGCTTTGCAGCATGCAGTACGTGCAGTACGTGGTTAAGCAGCTAACTCGCATCATGTGCTGACTGGGTGATCTCATGTGTTAGCAAAGTGTGATGGCTGAAAAAACGCTCTGCTGTAGGCTGCATTATGGACTACATTAAACTAGATTGACAAAGGAGATCTATTTTTGATATTGCAGTGCCAGCTTTTGCACACTTTGTTCCATCTCCTTACTGAATGCATTGAAAGAACAAACCAGCTAAGAATTAATTTTTTTCCAGGAATTAGGGTATTAAATAAGAACCAGTCATGGCTATTCACAAAAAGTATTGAGAAAAGGTCTGGGATTTTAAGTCCTTCTCCTTTCCAGGATTTTGAAGCCAAATGTCATCTCTTGAAACTGATTCTTTCTTTTTTTCTCTGCCTCATAGACATGCATATGTAACAGTAGTCCCATTTACCTGTTAGTCTTATTACATGACTAGAAAACACAAAGTTATATTTTTCTTCTGCATCATCTGCCAAAATGATGCTTCTTCAGGCAGTAAAATACTCTGGACTGGGGCTTTTAGTCTCCAGTTGAAGTTTTTACTGTGAAGAATCCCAGTGCTGTAGCCATTACAAAGAAGTTCTTCACAGAAAGGGTGACTGAGTGTCAGAATGGGCTGCCCAGGGAGGTGGTGGAGTCACAGACCCTGTGGGTGTTTAAAGAAGACTGGACTGCAGTTGGTACAGTTGACAAGGTGGTGTTAGGTCATAGGTTGGACTTGATGATTTCCAAGGTCTTTTCCAACCTGTTTGTCTCAGGGATTCTGCTGCTGTTACTGATGATACTGGTAATGGGCTAAGGAGTCACTATTTTTGACTTAACTCATGGCTTTTAAGTCCGTACACAGAAGTGCTGCCTCATTTAGAAGTGGCAACCTAAACCCGTTAGAGTTGCTGTGTGGTGGTAACAGCTTTCTTGGGATGTTTCAGCCCTTGGAGTGATGAATCGCTTTAGACCTGTGCACCTATCCTCAACAAGGGCTCTAAACTACTGAGATAAAGTGGATGAGGGGCATCACCACCTCCTCGAAACACTTGTATATGTCTTGTATAGATCTTGTATAATATTAGCCAGATGAGGGCAAGAAAAGAAGCGACATTACTTCTGACTCTTCTGGTGCGAATGATACAAGGATAACTTGCTCATGTTATTTGTTCAGTATCTCTGCATATCCTCACCAGAATACATTTAGGGCATTTAAGAACCTTAGAGACACAATAATTTGCTTTTCTTTGTTCCTTGACCAGGAACCTCACATTGGAGGAGAAGGCATGAAGGGAGCTGGACTATCACTTGATCAGTTGAAGCTACTGCAGAGATTTGATCCATCTGCTATGACATTGCAAGGAATGGATATTAATTCTTTGCAAGATTCTAGAGAAGATGACCTGATTTCATTGGCAAATAAGGACTGTATAGGATTTTTCATTGCAAAATTTATTAAATTGAACAGTAAATAAGGATTTGGGAATGCAACCTGAAAAAATACCTCAGTGAGTCTAAGAACAGTTCAGACGTGAAGTGCCTTTCTTTCTTCCTGCTGCAATGTTACCAAGCCAACGGGCTGACGGCAGGGTTGCTATGGCAGCACTAAAATCTGCCAGCTGTTCTGATGGGAAAGAGCCACAGGTTGCAGCAGAAAAGTCATGGTTGGGGGAAGGGTAGTATCATTTCTAACTCTCCTTCTGCTTTTGTATTTACAGCAGGTCAGTGCCTGAATGGCAACTCCGTTCACTCATACTGCTGTCTGCTCTGGTTTCCCCTTATCTGCGGCAAGCGTAGGAAGGGGATGCAAGCTACGAAATGCAAACATAAATAAAATAGATGGGAATTATTACAATGAATTTTGGAAAGGGTCGTTTCTGTGGAGGTTTACCAATAGTTAGTTTCCTTAAATAGTTCTTCTCAAAACACTGCAATATTTTACAAAGAACTGTTTTATAAATTGATACTTAGAACCTCATTTCTCTTTTATTTTAATACAAGCAAGATTCTCTGTACACATAGTATATACACAAAATACGATTAGGCTTTGTAGCATGTCTTTTATAGCAGCATGAATATATTAAACCATCTCACTCTGGGAATGTAAATAAATATTGTTTCAACATCAAACTTCCCATGCATAAACTGTATTGGTTCTGAAATAGCCTATTGGACTGGCTGACAAGTGACAGTTTTAAAATCAAACATTTGTAACAGAAGGGGCTACAGTTATGATTAATATATCAAAAGACAGAAAACAATGCATAATACCATCTTAAATGTTGCAAATCACCTTTCAAACAACTAAGGATATTAACTCTTTATTGGTTAGAAAGCATCACCAGCTAAAATCATGTGAAAATTGAAACTGGGGAAGCATGCTAATGGAAACTGCTTTAGTACATTGCTCAAAGTTTAAATAACCTAAATTTCTTAAAGATGTTAGATGTATTTGAAAATTCTGCTTCAGTTCCAGTTTGAACAATATTCTCAGTCCTGCTGGAACTGACAATAGCACTAAAATTGAAGGAAAGCTAAGGACAATGGAAAAATAGAAACTGACATCTGTGTGTGTTTGGTGTTTTCCCCTCACTCATCAATTTCCAGTTTTAAAAAGGATTATCTGAAAAATATCTGTCTTCTCACACGTAACTATTTGATTGGATTAAAAAGAGAAATAGTTCTTTTATCATTTTTTTTCTACTGTCAGAAGTGCTTTTAGTATTTGCTCACAATCAAAACAATCTATAGAATTCTCTTTCTCGGTAGTTTGTTTACTTACATTTTCCATAAATGTTTTGATACCGTATGTTTTCTACTGCTCTTGAATAAAACCCAAATGTTTCTTCTGTCCTGCCAAGGTTGACTAGTGCAAGTACTAGTACAAGCCTAGCAAGTATAGTAAGGCCTATACTAGCAGGACAGGAAAATGGAATTCTTGTCTACTACTTCTCTACTTCTGTAGGTCATTCCTTGCCATTAAACACACCTTGTCTAAAGAAGATTTAAAGTAATTTTGTTTCATCAGTAGTAGGTGAGATATCCTATTTAGTATCATGAAAGTTCATACTGTAATCTTTCTAGTCTAAGTATGGTGAAAATATTACCTGGGAACAAAAGGTATTAATCCTTTACTGTAAGAACGTGTTGAAATCTTTAACTCAGTGCTAGTAAAAAAGCATTTTCTTTTTTGCAGAATATAGAAATTTTGTAAACATTAATCAGCACACATAAACTATATACTGAAGTTTGTGTATTCATATAAAGGAACTTTACCTCCAGTTTCAGTAGCAGGATTTGTGCAATGCTGAATTTGAAAGAATTAAGATTGCTGAATTTTTAGTGGAATATTTGTTGAAACTTCCTCCACTTTCTTTAATTTTGGATGATAGGCTTTTTAAGGAGGTGACCTCACTTGATGTAATAGGAGAAGTTTCTTGGGGGTGGGAAGACAATGTAACTAATTTGTAGTTAATTCCAGTGTCACTGCAGAGCAGACTTCACCTGAAAAAAATTACTGATATATAACTTTAGCTATTAGGGTTGTTTCTGTAAATTCAAATGCTAGCCTTAGAAGAGCACTCAGCATCTCGAAGGGATTGGCCTCAGCTGCTTCCCCAAGGGCCCTGTCTCTGTTGGTAAAGAGGGAGTGACTTCTCCATCAGGCAGGTCAGAACAGAAACTCAATAAAGATGCTCCATCCCTTGAAGGAGCCAGCATCCTTCCTCTCACCACAGGTGTGGCTAAGTTGGATGACTCAAGTTGGATGGATGCCCTTTTTCTTCTTTTCCAATCTTACCGTGACTTTAACTAGAAGCGGTAGGAATACTTTCTCCTTGGCAGTTCTGATGGATGGAGTACATATGTTTTAAACATATCATATGATTACTTTCCTGATAATCTTTACACACTGAATCATTGTGCTTCACCAGTTGATGCTGAAGCACAATGGAATATATTTATATATATTTTATATATATATATGTGATATTTATATATTAAATTTAAAAAGTTATTGTCATTATAATGAAAGATTAAACCTACAAAATAGATAATTAGGCATGCAGTCAGATCCTGTCATTAAGAAAGTCTGAAAAGTAGTTTTCTCTATTTGCAGAAACAGTGATTAGTAATAGTGCCAAATCTAAATATCTGTCTTGGTCAGTATAAAGATACTAAAATAGGCAGCCTCATATATTATGAAATTATGATACAGCTTTTTCTTGTTTCAGTGTCACGGAATGCACCAATTTTTTGGATCACAGGATTTCATAGGCTTTTTAAGGGATAGGCTGGTGAAGGTGATCAGGAAATGACTTTAGAATGGGTAGTTTAAAATATAAAGAACCTTGGTTTTGTGTTTGATTGTTCATGAATAAAAATTTTATGAGAAAATCCAATTTTGTACTGCTAGAATTCATTGCAGAGTAGGTATGCATGATAGATAAAAGTGGCAAGAATAAAGTAAGAAATGAGAATATGGATGAGTTAGAAGAACCTGCTTAATCTCTATTATATCTGATATAAATCTTTTCTGGGGCTGCGTAGGAATACATTTCTAGGGTGGTAAGTTATAATAAGAAACTGTCTATAAAACTACTGTAAGCTCATATGTAATAGTTTGTTATATAAAAGTGGGGAAATAAATTACAGACAAATTGCCAAGCAATAAAATTGATTAACATTTGATTAAAAACATTCACAGTAAAAATGGCATCCACATATTTTACATATGATAGAAGAACTAAGATTTTGGTGAAAGATCTGCAATAAAATAATAAATAAAAGTAAATGTACACCAGAAATGTTATATTACACTCTGAAAAATAATTTCTCTGTTTAGACTTTGTAGTCAAGTTTTTTGCACTGTGCTCGATTTTATGGATGGAACAGAATTAAAGTCAAAAACATTTGGAAATCAGCTTTCAGCCTGGTGTTTTAAAGCAATCAGAGGTCAAATGTAACCACAAATCAAAATAAATTTTGAAGAGGCTTTAGTAACTAACAAACACAGGAGGTGGTTTACACCAGCTCTTTTCCTTTGAACAGACATTGATTAAAAGCAGTCAGAACACTCACTTCACTCCAGCTGAGGGAATTATAATGGACCCCCTGAAAACCTTTGTAGGTGTCACAGAATGTGAGCGTGACTTTACAAACCAACAGAGCTGAAAAATGACAATTGCTAACAGATTTGTAAAAGACGAAGTATTAAGGGGCGATGTATTAGACCTGGGCAGGAACTGCATGTATAGGATGGGTAACCAGGTATGCAGGAAGAAGTAAAAATGGACCTCTCCCTTTATTCAGGGTTCAGTGAGTGGAATTTCATTTCCTTATCTTCCATTTATAATAAACGCTATAGGCTAAGAGTATCCCAATTTCTGTGAAAAGAGATGCTCCACTGAAGGTCTTTGTGGCTTTTTAAAACTGATCTTCATTAAATAGGTCCAGAGCCTTAGGAGAAACTATGTATTTGATTTTATTCCTTGAGAAGCAAAAATTATGGAACTCTCTTCAAATTCTGAACTCCTGATGCCAGACACAGAACATGAATTCATGAGAATTCTAGAATAATAACTTAAGTTCTAGGCAGTAATTTATGAATCAATTTAGTAAAAATAGTTTATTTCAGCTCGTAACTCATACTGACGCTGCCTTTGTGCACAAACCTGTTTGCTTATTCCTCCCCACTGTCCTGTCCCTTAGCAGGTCTGGAGACTTTCACTGTCACCTCCTTGCAGTCCCTCTGGAAAAGAATTCTTTCTTCCATGACATCTATGTGACATTAGACAACTGGTAACAGATAGACTAAAGCTACTCAGCACTGATGTATAGTCATTTGAAAAAAACACACAAAAGTAAGGTCAACGTCTAACATATACATGCAGATTTAGAAATGCATCCCATTCCTTCCTTACACTGAAAGTCTTTAGAAAAATACAGAGTTGAGCTGCCCAGACTTACAGATCACTTAACTATTTCATGCTTATCCATTTCTTTCTGTTTCACTTGTTTTACTATCTTTTTAGTTCATTTGGAATGAACTAAATGAGAAATAAGAATGGAAATTTTACAGGTTGTTTTGTACCACACATCCATAAGACTCTGGAGCTCACTGGGACCTCTACCATTTCTCAGATTCCTGAAAATCCCTGAAACCAGATACGGAAATATGATCTCATTAGTATCCTAATGCAACCAGTAATATTAAACTTTCTATTGGCAAAACTTTGCAAAGACATTTCATCACAATAATCTTTGATATGTCCTCCACTTGGAGTATTTTTAAAGCTTCTTATTGACATAATTCTGTTAAAGTGCTTTTCAAAGTAGTGCTCAGCAGGCAGGTGGTATTGTGCAATATATGTAGTACAAGCTCACATTACAAATGATTTGTCACTCTTAAAACAGAAACTGAAAAAAAGTATCTCAGCAAGGTTAATGAAACCTATTCAGTGAGTCTGCCTAAGAAACACATGTGTTTATTAGTATGTTGACTATACATAAATAGCAGCACTATATAAAACACAGTTCTATGACCAGTTGGATTTGGATTTGTCTTTTTTTTTGTGATGTTTATATTGCATGAATCAATATATAGGCCATACTTAAATACTAGGGCTTGGACTATGCTCTCTCTTTTCTCATTTATTTGTCTATACACAACTACCTATGCCATAGTTTTCATATACTACTCAGTGCTTTAAAATTCAGCCAAATATTCCTTAAAAAATACTTTAAGAAAGCTTAAAAATAAACACTCTCTGGAGCAAAAGTAAAAAAAAGAAACAAAGCAAAAAACCCCAAAATCCAACCAAAAAACCAACAAAAAAGGAACAAAATATTCAAGGTTTTGAAGTGGAATCACTTCTTAGAGGACATAGCTGTCATGAGTTGCAGGGAGCAACACCATCTACTGCAGCTGGTAAATTAGCTAAAGCCAGGCTATACAGAGCAAGACAATATCACTTTCTTCCCACTTACATGTGATCTGATATGACTCAAACAACAGTCTTTTAATGTCATTTTTTACAGATACCCTGAAAATTCTCTTGTATCAAAACCCAGTTTATGTACTCTTCTATATCCATTTAGTAATACTGCAGATCTACTTACCTATTCTTCCTTTCTCTACAAAGCCATTTAGTGATGTCTAGAAAAATGATGAGAATTTTATTTCTAGAAAAATAATCTTTTTTTCTTGTGTTCCCCACAGTTCATGCTTTGAGCCAGAACCTACCCTTGAGTAACCACAACAGTCAGCAGCACTGGGAGGAATGGCCAGATAACTGACAGATAACCACTCTTAGGTTGTTGTAAAAATGCTTATAAAGCATCAGGGAGAGGGGTAGGAGAGGAAGGGCAGAGAATGTTTAAGGGAATTTCTTGGATGCTGGGCTAAGAGATTGGAGAAAGCATGCACCTGCCATGTATCTTATCCATTTCACTAAAATGATATTCAAAATCAGGCAATGCTGATATTCCCAGAATTGAAATAATAAATAAAAAGAACTTCCAGCTAAACTAATTATTATCACACTAAAGTCTTTATATAATGTGCTATTTACAGGGAAATACAAAAAGTATTTCATTCATACAGGTACTACAAAGACTACACGTGATGCAGAACAGCTTTTACACTAGGCAAGGGTATGGAACCTGGAGTCAAAAAAAAATAGTGAATTTCCCCCCACTTACCAGTGCAACAGGTGTTCAGTGCAAAACAAACTGTGTTCACTCCCTTTGATTTCAATGCATTTTCTCTAGAAAGCTCCTAACAGAGTCACAGTCATTCTTCTATGCTCTCAGCAGCAGCACAACAGCTTTGGTGAAGGAAAAGCAGTGAGCTGGCTGCAGAGTGGGAATGCAGAGAATTGGCAAGTGTAGAAAAAGTGGAGAAGCTACAAAAATTTATTTTCCAACAAAATAACTCTCCACAAGCTGTGTAAACTTTTCTTACTAAAACAAATACTCTAAAACACAAAGATTTTACATTTCCAGTGAAACTCACAGTAACATTTGCCTGTTTATACTCTCCTGAAGTCTCAATAAAGAGCCAGCAGATTTATGCTTTCCCAATTACCTGGGTCAGTAAATTCCCTCATATTCCCTGAATGCAATTTGTATTTTTAAATTAAGAGACAGAATGTAGAAATAGACTTGTTGGGCAAAATACCTTTGTTTTCTTCAGTAGATTCTCACAGTTTGCTGCCTAACGTGCACACGCACACGGACACCGATCCACCACCCGCCCACTCACATACACACCTCCAACACGTGTGCTCTGTTTACTGACAGTAGAACCAAAATTAAGCTGTGCCCATTGCAATATTGTGACCTGAACAGAGAAGAATAATTTATAGTGGTAAGTTCATTATCTTTACCATAACTTTAAAATGCAGAATTTGGTTTGCAAGGACAGCATAAGGTATAAGAGTTACACCCTTTATCTCAAGCACTCATCCATATTTACAGTAAGTATCAGCTTTCTGCTACAGAAGAAAAAGTATTTAGATTGAACACTGTTACAGATTTCCTAAGTGAGGCTAGTTCCAGTTGCCAGTAATTCAAAAGCAAATCTGCTGACTTGGCATTAGGACTCTAAAACAGTGTGATCAAACTTATATAGTAAGAAGGTGTCTGCAGAAATAACGTTTATAAACTGTATATACAGTACACAGTACCAGTACATAGAAAATAGATTTTGACTCCATGATCCCCTGTGTGTAAGGCAAGACTGAATTCTGTCTTCATACGGAGACCACCAGAGGTACAAGCAACAGAGTGGTGCTTAAATCAATATGCAAATCAAGTGCATACAAATTAAAAATCAGAGCAGACAAAAATTTTTCGATTTTTTTATGTGCTGATCCTGGCTTGCTGAATACATGGGAAGTTATTAAACATCAAATGTACCTTTTTTTTAAAAAACACTAACAACACCTTGATGGCAACAGATATTGTTCAAGTGGCAGCTACCAAAAACAGCTTGAAAAATGTCATAGTACAACATCAGGAACTCTTCAGTTGTACTACACTAATTCATATAGCACTAACCAAAAAAATAAGTATATGAATATTCTATTTCATGCTATTGCTATGCAAGCAACAGCAATACAAATCAGCATACAGAAGGATACCATATGTTCTGCAAAGAAGAACCCAAGATATTTTCAAGGGGCATTGTTACAAGACTTCAAAGAAACACAAGACTGCCAGAGGCAAAAGTTACTGTCGGATGTAAACATCCCTGTTCCACTCCCCTGCATCGTTACGTTTTTTCGATATCACTTCCCCATCCTTGTCACAATATTGGTCCCTTGATTTATGACGACTGCGCTGTTTGTTGCATTCATTGTGGTCCTGCTCGCGGTCCCTCTCCTTTGAGCGATGCCGGGATTCTCTGTGTCTGTGTTCACTCATCCCGTGGGACTCGTCTCTGTGATTATGATCCCTGTGAGAATCATAGTGGTCACCATGCTCGTGAGAGTAGTCCTCCTTTGGCTCTACGTAAGCTGAATCTCTGCTGTCTTGTGTTTCTGAGTCAAAAGTTTCTTGCCTGTGAAGGCCTCTGACACCACTGCGGTGGTTGTGGTGTTGGCTGGAGGAAGAGCGGTGCTGGGATTTCTTGGTGGGTTCGACCCGTGCTTCCTCTTCAATGTGGGAACCGCTGCGCTCAGGGACCGAATGGTCATTCCTCTGGTCTCCTTGAGATCCCTGCTACCAGAACCAGCAGTAAGGTCATGAGGTACACACTGAAAAACTTCCCCCAACATCAAATTCAACTAGAAAGTACCATGAAACCAATAAAATTTTAGGTACAAAACAATCCACTTTGAATCTAAACTAGGAAAGAAACCATTAGTATTCAACTTTTACTCAAAAAATTCAGTATTATAATACAAACAATTCTTTTTATTCTCATCAGAATGTAGGGTAGCACTTGGGATGTTCTGTGGCACTTTCTCATTTCTTGTGATGTTTCTGACTACTCCAGTTAGCAATAATTGCCACCACCCTCCAAAGAAAAAGAGAGCATGCAGAAACTGCAGAAAAATTGAGAGGAGATATCATGCCAGGAGAGGGCATGTATCAGTTGAGAGTTTACAGATGCGTGTTTGGAAACAGCCTCTATGGGAAAGTGATTTCGTAAGGCTGATGAGGTGGATTCCAGAAAAGAACCAAAGTACAAAACCTTGGTTCTTGCATAGTCACTTTTTTTTTTTTAAGGAAAAAAAATGCAATTGATTCTAGTATGAATAAAGTTTGTATTATGATACTAATAGTATCACTGACCTTCTGTTTTCTCAGCAATAATTTCATTTCTTCTTGGTAATGAAAAATTAAACATTAACCTCATAATTTTAAGAGCTCGAGAATACAACCCATTGCTAAGAAAAGCAGGAGGAGAGTGATATTATCACATACAAAATTTCCTAACACACCACTGCTATTAAAAGACCGAAATAAAAATTACCAGGTAATAAACCTACTCTTCACCCGCATAAATGCTTTGAAATCACTGCAAAATGAACAAGTGGCATTATTTACCTCATTGGGGGTTTCATTACATTAACCTGCTTTTATTGTCAAACCGCCACTAAGGACTTTTCAGGCTTAATTGCAAAAAATTTTATAGTTAATACTGAAATTGAATTATACTTCTCACATGAGGTGAAGAATGTCAAGACAAAATTATCTCTGCTGCCACAAAATGAATGTAGATTTTACCAGAGTTATACAGGCATTTGTTAGTGAGACTGTTCTGAATACCAAAGTTAGTCTTAAGTTTGCCCTCCTATGTTCAGAGTTGTCTAAAAATAAGGACTGCCCCCAGGGCAGCTCATGGTTGTATCTTCTTTCTGTCTTTCTGTTTTGTGGGAAAGAGCTAGGGGAAGGAGGAAATTTTCAGCCACAAATACTGGCAGGTGGGTTTCCTAGCAAACCAAAAAGTAAAATTACAGTAAATTGGAAAGGAAAATAACCTGTATTTAATCAGAAACTTATATAAAAAAGCGTATTTAAAATCAGCTATTTGATAAATTTGGCAAATCTTAATTTTCTAAGACAACATTTTGTTACGTAAACTTCTGAGAGACAAGCTGTGTTTCTAATTTGAAACAAATGTTATAGATGAAAACAAGGCAACAGGAATAGCATTCAGATTTCTTATTTTTTCTTGCTTTTGTGATTCTCAAGATGATTCTGATTTGTCAGAGAGGAATATAATAATTGTAAACATGAATAGATCTGTTCAAGGTGAAACGAAATGACTCAACAAACGTGAATTGTAAATGAAATTAAGTGAAAAGCAAAGCAGTCCAAAGCAGTGCCTGCTTTTCATGTGGAAACACAACTTTCATCAGTTCATCAATATGACTGGTTTTAAGGCACATACACATGGTATACAAGTGAAACCCTATTATTCTCATGTGGTCAAATGCAAATACCTATACATAATCATGACAAATAAAATCTGTCATTGCTGTAGTTTGAGAACAAATGCAAAATTTGAACCTGCACTGGAAACACTGCTACTTTTACAAGCTCAGATGCATCTTCTGTGCTATGATGAGCACATGTGAAGGAACACAGTGAATAAATTTAGAACCAATACATGCAAGTTCAGAACAGTGTTAGGGCTGTTGGGATTTATGGGCAAATTCACTGACATTAATCTCCATTAAGTATTATAGGGACACTGAACGGGTAATGTCTATTACCAGAGTCTGGCTTTTTGGTTCATAACCAAATTCAAGATCTGATTTGGAACAGATTCTTCAGTGCAGGAGTTTTATGGCCCAATTTCACAAGGTTTTTTGTATAAAATAGCACAAGTTTGAGATAATCCTATTTCAGTCCTCAGTTTGTACTTTCAAAGAAGTAGGGGCTCTTGGAAAGAAGTTTAAACACTGTTGAAAGAGGAGAGAGGAGCCTTTGTCCACTGACTGAATTTGCCTTGCTCTTCATTTCCAGTGCTCCCTGATCACCTGCGCCATATATGTTTGAGGTTGCTCCAGTCCCTTCAGAGTTGGCCATTTCCATACAAGTTTATTTCAAAGCTCTCCCTCAGACTGACACGAGATCTGCCGTGTGCCTTTGCCTATTTCATTTCAAACCATCCCAGGAGGCCTCACACCTTCGAGCACCTCTTGCCATGCAGTGCACACAGGCAGCTTCATGCTGTAAAAATGCCACTCTGGCAGCTGGCAACACAAATCCCTCCTTACAATCTACACTGGGGACTTAAAAACCACAAACTCAAAGTATGTTTCATGGCAAAGGGGCACTGCATTGGGCCCAGGGGAGGATGACTCCCTGCTCTGCAGTGTGGATGTGGCTCCCCCAGACTGAACAACTGGTAGCTTTCCCCTGCAGAGCAATCCAGAAAAACAGCACAGGCATAGACTTTAAATTCTCTAAATAAAGGGTCCTAATACTGTTGAAAGAATGGGTTCAGCCACCATCATTAAAGAATAGACCCACTCTCTGCCAAGGCAATGACAAGCTCAGGTTTGAGATGTCAGCTGAAGATGTGTCGTAGGAAAATGAAACCAAAGGAACAGAAAAGTTTTATGTTCCATAAGGGACCTCTGTTGATTAACACTTCTGTATTAGCAGACCTACAAACAAACAGTGAAACTGCAAATACACTCTCATTTTTAGTCCTTAAAATAAAAATCTGTTAGTTTGTAAGGAGACAGCACAGCATTCAGAAACGTGTTATTAAAACTCTGCAGTTTCTCCAGAGAATGTGGTTAATACAGTAAGTATGTGAGCTATAAATCCACACCCAAAAAGCATAAAAAGATTTGAGCAAGATAATTTAGAAGTTTGCAAAGCAAAAAAAGTTTATCTAGCAAGGCTGCACACAACAATACTGAATTTCATACTCAGAAATTCTTCCAGCTCACAATTTTTTCAAGTTGTTTCAGCTCTGAGGACAGAAAAAAAGGCAGAAATGAGCTATAGTTTACAGTCTCTTTTCCTGCAACTGTGTCTGAAAGCAAGAGAAGATACCCTTCAAGGTGGCTAAAGAAAATTTTCTTGTTAAAGAACTAACCTGTGAAGTCTGTGGTTTTCTAATAAGAAATAAGTTGACACAGAAAATTGTTTTGCAAAATCATAAAAAAGAGCACAACATTTTTGTATTTTAATTTGGATGCAGATACATTTTTTCATTTGATTTTCTAAAAGGAGGTGTTTTTAGCCAAAGTTATTAATTGTAACTTGCATATGTATATAATTTATGGGCACATATTGAACTTAGGTAGACATTTAGATGTAGTAAGCCTTTATTTGATCTGGGACAGATCTATTTTTTCCCCTCTCTGTGATCTTCTCAGCCTCAAGGTATCATTCACTACTTAAAATGAAGTATCATCTTTAAACACTTCATTGCATATCATGCAACACATATCCAAAGGAAAGCATCTCCTTATGCTGAACACATCAGTAAAATTATACAGACCAAAAGTTGAAGGAGAATAGAGGGGACATAATAAGCCCACATCAACAGGCAGATCAGTGCAGAGGCAGGAATACAGCCCACTTTTCTCAGCTCACTGGGGAGTGTCCTCACTGCTCAGAACATAGAGCCTCTCAAGGTCTTTCTGCACTATGTGCAGTGCAGGGGGACTTGGATCTGACCTAAGTTTGGTTGAAGGAAGTCTGTACTTTTCACAGCAATGGCCAGTGAATAAAAGAACAAACGAAACACTGGAAGGGCCACATTGACCTTGAGTCTTTACTAAAACAGTCAGTTATCCTCAACCTCTACAACTCTATAGCCTGTGGCAAGATTGGAACAGATTTCCCCCCAACACTTGTGGATCTGCCCTGTACATAACCCAGTTTGTCATGCAGGGCCTCTGGGGCTGGGATTTGCCTATTAGCAGTAATGTGCCCATCAGTCAGAAAGTTACCAGAGGCTGGAATGAGTATAGTCTTAGTCTAGTTTTATTTCTCTGATTGGATTACATGTGGCCAGCTACAAAAATGCTTGTGGCTGGTACATATATTACTGGCACGGTGGTGTCCTGGGCACAATAAAACCTGAAGTATTCCATTTCACATCAACATATGTTTTCAGTCAGGCCAGCTTAGTCCTTGGAATCAAATCCAGCCCCTAGTCAATACACAAACACATGCTACTATGAATACAACAGAAATAACATGCTTGCATTTGCCTTTTATACTGAAAATGGGGGGGAATGTCTGCTGGAAAAGCTTTTAGTCTATCAACAACAGGAAAACATATCCAGCATATTCTAATATCAGCCTAACTCTGTGCTTTGGAAGAAGAAGTAGTTGACAGAAGAAAAAGAAGAGATAGAATAAAAAGTGTACCTGTAAATTAATATTTGGACCTGGGCTAATAGGTAGAGTGGCTGTTGCAAGTGTGCGAGTGAGAAGCTGGTTAGGAGGATTGCTGCTAGGTGGATGTGTGGCCTTCCAGTAGGCTTCCAGATAGTCAGCAAGGTGCTCACAAGCATCTTCAAGCTGGTTCTCATCAAGAATTACATCGAACATCTCCTGAGAAAGGAAAGGTTTTAGTGAGAATAATCACCAGGTAAAGGGAGATCAGCTAGAGACATTGATCATGCTTTCCATTAATCAAAAATGGACCACATTTTTAGTAATTGTATTAAGATATTTTACCTTTCTTTCTGTTTGTTTTTCTGAATGCAGTTGATGCAAAAGACCGTAATAATAACTAGCACTAACTAGCACTAGCACTTTACTCTTGCTAAAGCAAGGCATTGTGACTTCTACATAGTAATGTACAAACAATCAAAGAAGGCAGCAAAGAGGCAGCAACAAATCTTAAAGTAACAGAAAAAACAGATACATATTGAAGAATTAACTATTAAAAAAAATGGAATGGCAAGAAAGGGATTCAATCCCCCTGTAGAATAACTGCAGAATACGAAAACTAAGGCAAACTAAGACCAATAACTAAAAATAGTAAGAGTATAGATCATTCAGTTTCCTAGTGTCATACAATTATTAGGTAAGAGATTAGTCACACAATCTAATTTTAGTCTTCTAAAGTTAGGAGGTGAGTTTCATCCATTTCCTCCCTGGTCAGGGAGCAGAAGGCAGCTTTGAGGGCCTATGCAGGTCTCCAGCATTCTTCATTGACTTACTGGGGACCTGAGCATTGCTTAACTGAGATGCTTGAACTTAAATGATGAAGACATTCCCTCCACTCAGCTCCAAACTGTGGCAAATTACATCTGCAACTGAACTGTACTCCCATCTTCTGCTTTCATGCTCTTGACAGCTGAGGATGCAGGCAGCAACGCATGCCAGGCTTAAAACACAGCTGGCGTGTCATCACCTCCACTTTATAGGTAGAAATTGAGAGAATTTGCATCAGTGCACATCTGAAGAACTGCAGCGCTGTCAGCTAGGCAGTACCACTCAGCTCTTTGCCAAAACTCTGACCAAGAACATCAGCAGTGGGCTGTGCTGACAGATGTCCCAGAGAAGTTACTCAAACCATCGGCCTTATTCTAAACTACCAGAGATGAAGCACAGTCACTAAGAGGGTTCATTTTTAGACCAATAACCCTCTAAAACTTATCAAGTTCTGTTTACTGAAGCACTGACTGTATCAGCACACGTCCTAATAACTGACTGTGACTAGGACTTTCTCCTCTGCACTCTAGTGCAGAGCCCCTAGACCTCAGGAGGTGTCCTGCAAAAAGCAATATTTAAATATGGCCAGAAGAGGGCAAACATTCCTGGAAATTATGTAATTAACCTCGTACTTGAAAAGAAAGGCACCTTTCAGAGAGAAGGCATAAATTAACAGTAACTCACAGGAGGACACTGTGCCAGTTTATCAGCTGCCACCATCTGAACATTAAGGTGTTTGGCCTGAGATTTCCCTCGAGATTTTATCAACCTCTGTAAAACCTGTGAAAAATAAGACATTAAAAAAAGTGAACAGGCTCAGACTTGATATACATACATAACCACTTAAAACTTTTACATTTGAAACTGCTCATATGAGCTGAGCAAATTCTGCTTTTGCTGGCTTCAAGAAAATTTCCCATGTTCCCTCATCCAGGATATGCTAATTTTCACTTACATCTAAATATCTCCTTTCCATTACAAGCACTAAAAAGTTCCACTCCTGCCTTTTTTCTGGTGCTTCTGGTTCTGTTTGTTTCTAAGTTGATTTTTTAAAATTATCTCTCGAGTTTTCTCCCCACAAATTAATTTTTCTCTTTTAAATGCCTCTTCAAAAGGTCTGTGCATTTTTTTTACACACAGTGGAAGAGTATATTATCAGATGTTAAAGTTTAGCAATCAGTCTGATACTCATTCAGTGAAAATAATTCTTTCATTTCCATATTAATTTGATTTAACAAACCATAAGCACTACTTATGTGATTGATACTAAAAGTGTAATTCCAATTAAAAAACTCATTGGAGCTACAGAATCTTTTCCAAAATTAGTTTTGGTTAACACTAGAACTCAGATGTATTTCTGATTATTAATGCTTCCAAATTGCTTCCAAAGGGAAGCATTAATAACATATAGCTTTGAACCTAAACGAGGACATCGGATTATCTGCATTTAAGGCCCAAAAAACCTCACAGAAAACAAAAAAACACACACCCCCACAAAAAAAAAACAAACCGCAAAAAAAACCACCAAACAAAACCCAGAACCAAAAAAACTGAAAGAACATGAAGGTATCTAAAATATTTACCTTAGGAGAAGAAATCTTTACGTATACTATAATGGGAGCCAGAGAGGTTTTGCTCAGTTGAGCTGGGTGGTTAATGGTATCAGCATCAAGCACTACCAACTGCAATGTCCTGGCTAATTCAAAAATCCGTTCAATTTCACTTTGAACTTCAGCTGCAAAGTAGAAAATTAGAGTTATGAAGTGATTAGTTTTAAGAAATGCAACGTTATAGTAGACTGGTGTGTTGCTCCTCCTCTGGTTGCAGGAGTTGTTATCCATGCATGTCCCTGGCACAGCAGGGTAATGAATACAACCTTAATGAGAGCATTTCACCCCTGTTCTGTTGCCCTTGCAGGTGCTGCCTGCCTCTCTCACCTCATCAATTCCTGCTATTCCAGGCTGGAGAGACACTGGTAACACCTTCTCACATGACCCCAGAGCATGCATATAAGAAAAAGGGGTAGAAATGCTTGCTGCATCAAATGGCAACCTTACTATCCCACAGATGAGCTCCATGTAAATAATGTCAGCTCACACTTCAATCTTAACCAGTAACCAGTTTGCTCAAAATGGAGTGCTTGAGATAGCATTAGAAAGTACTGATTACTCTATTAGTAGAAAGTACTATTTTCCCATTTACTTCAACTTACCAAAACTCTGGAAAACAAGTTATTTTCTACTGGCCTCAGTATGGGACCATGTTAAAAATTTGGCTATTATGTGTAAAACACTTTTCGAAGAGAAAATAATGGAATAATCCAAATAATGCTATGTTATCCTCCTCACAGTCCCAGGAGCTGTGGAAAGCCGATTTTCCCAGAGGAAAATAATTTTTTCTTCTGGTAGTCATGCTCCCAGCTCCTCAGCACCCTGTCTGATTGGCAGTGCTTTCCAGGGCAAACCTCTCCAAGACAGATGGGCTGCATCCGCTTTCACAAGTGGTGTAGAAACCCTCTTCATTCCCCAGTGAAACAAAACTACATCTTATTATAGCAAAATCATCTTTAAAATGAAATCACCTTTTCCTGCTCAAATCTTGCTATTGCCTGATTTCACAGAGGAATTAGAGAAGCTGGGTGATTTGTGCAAGTCTATAAAGGAATTCATTGGGCCAGACAAGACTAATTCATACAGGTTTCCCTTTAAAGGTTGTGCACGCTTCATGAACCAAAACCAGATTAGATATCTGGCCCATTCAAAGAAAATTTTGGAAGAGAACCAACAGACACTTAAAGGTTAAGAAGAGGTACCAAAAATTTAATAGAGAGTTTCTTGAAATTACATTATCAGCCTTTTATCCATTATGCTGGAAAAAGCTTAATTTTTGCTTGAAAACACAACCTATCTGATCTGGCTAGAGAGGGAGTTTTCTACATCAAATGGTCTCTTACAAGAGATATAAAAAGATTGTCTTTTTCTAAATAAATCAGGTACTATAAAAAGTTTGCAAAACTTCCAAGAGAGAGCAAGGCATCCCAGCTAGTATTTGGTTCCAAATGAAAAAGTGATTGTTAGGGTCATTTTATAAACAAAGTAACATCTAACTGGTCATCAGAAAATCTGTGTATGATATCCTTTACTGGAGGAGGTGGACATTGGTTTGGATTTATTAGAGATAATTTCTGACTATTTGTGCTTATTTCCAGCTTTAGGTAAGCACATACAATCAGTGTTTTAGAGCAGTGAACATTGTGAGATGTGCACAGTGTGGCATGGAAAATATCAATGCACGCTTTGCTGCTGGTCAGTAAAAGCACTGTGGTCCCACTGCTGTCTGAATTAGGACCACCTTTTAAATGTCAGAACTTCTGATGGTTCTTGGCACATTCATAATTACATTTTCTACAGCTTTATTACACAGAGATATGGCTGAAATCACCACTGTCTCAGAGTTTTAGCAGAAGATAGTCAATAATCTATCCCTAATTTAAGTTCAAATGACAACTAGAATAAACATATCAGAGAGAATTTGTCATGCTGTTCCGATTATAAGTTTAGATTGCTTTCCTGCAATTTCAAGCCAGGCTCAACACTTTAGTCAGTATAACAATATGCTAATGTATCATTTTAAGACCGTTCCAGACTGCTAAAAAACTCTTGTTCAAGACAGTTTATAACCAGCAAAATCTGTCTCTGTGCCATTGTATCATAATTTTGTCTGGGGAAACAGTATTTGCTACACTGCTCAAAGCACTTTTCTGCCAGTAGTGAACATGTCTCTGTGGACTAGATTTCCTGCTATACATTCTGAAAGGCCCTCTGCCAGAGCAGAGTACACCTCAGGGTATGTTCTATTGTGAAACACACCCACAGCAATAACTGCAGGTGACTGTGGTCCTATGAACCAGAGTTTCCATTTGAGTCTGAAGATGGAGAGAGATTTTTTTTTTTGTCAATTAAAATGTGTTTCAGTACTTATTTTTCTTAACTTGGGTACAGGAGAAAAGTTCAAGGAACTTCACTGCATGATTGGTGAACATGTGCCTCTACCTCTTCAGTCAGGAATGGATGGGAAAAATGCCACAATAATAGCTGAAGAGGTCCTGATCTCCTGCTCCTTAGAGTACTTCTTCAGCCTCTGGAAAAGCTTTCATTTTCTTGAAGACTTTTTTAAATTCCAACTTTACAAGATTGTTGCAATTACTTACATAATAGTGGCTTCTCTCTTTAGATGACAAAGGCTTTATCCACTGCTACTGCTTTGGTTTTCATTTTTCTTTAGCAATATCTCTCAAAAACCAAATTCTCTATCTGTAAAAATTCCTTCACAACAAGACATTCAACGTGAATTTTCCCTCAGACTTTTGCCCAAAGTAAGCAAAGAACTCAAAAAGTCATGTGGGGATAGTAACACAAATGTCACTGGTAGTTAAAATAGGGAGCTGAGAACAGTGACAGTAGGGTATCTTCAAAGCAGTACAGTAATAGCTTTGCAATTTTCCCACCTCCATGAATACCATCTATTTATAATGTCCCTTCTTATGTACTAGAGAGGCATAAGAGTGAAGTTATAACACTAAACTCCAATAAATTGTATTGGGCAATCATAATGAGAGGCATAAAAATAATTGGAATTACTGTGACAATCGTCATGAAATGCTGCCAGCCCAGCTACAACACCCAAACACAGAAATCAACTACCAAAGTTTAAAGTGACCCTTACAATCTATTTCATATGGTCTCCTGGTAACCAAAAAGTGAACATACTTTAAATGACAGGAGCACTCAACTATTTATTCCATACAATAAGGAGTCAGCTCTAAGAAACAGTAAGTACACATTTCCCAGAGAACTTTAAATACAGCACATTTAAACTTACTACCAAATTACCAATATTGCTACTGCATCTTGAACAGAAATTCAGTGCAATGAGAGGATAAATAAATCGGTTATCCTATTATAGGGGCAGACCAATATTCTTTACACCAGTTGGACCTCACAAGTGAATTCCAAGAAAAAATCTTTCCCAGTTCACTACAATAATCTCACCTAAAATAAAGGCAAAGATACAACAACATTTTATCTCTGTCAGTTCACTGGTAGCATGGTGAACTGCAGTGGAACTCAGGGTTGCTTATGTGATGCCATTGTACAGGAACATTCTCTATGCCACACAGCTGGAGAAACACAACCCTCCTGCAAACCTGGGCTGCAGCCATCCATAGCAGCCAGGAGTCACCAGCACACTCATCTTGACAGAGCAGTGGCAATGTGTTTTAGGCAAGACCCTGATGAAATAGCAGTTCCATGAGAAGGAAAAGATGCAAAATGGACATGCATTTGGCCTGCAAAGGGTCAAGTGAAGCACAAAATACTGCTCAGAGGCAGCAAAGAAATTTTGATCTTCACAAGGAGCAGTGAAATTCAAATACACTCAACTGAACACAGTACAACTTTTATATCCTATTGAATTTGACCTTGTCCCCTGTCTATGGTACTGGTGGCTATGTTTTCTTCAGTGAAACAGATATGTAAATCATGATTTCAACTGCAACAAGCAGAGACAAAGCATTCTAGATGTTTTAAACAGGGCTCCTGATATTAAAGACATATGGAATGAAAAGAACACAACTCTGTCAATGTATGCAAAACAAAATGATTAGCAACACCTTACACAAGTGGCTTTGAAATAATTTTATAAATTAAGGAAAACAGTAGCCATGATTTTTTTATGCTAATTCTTTTATACAAACACAGTTACTTAAAAATAATTAACCACTAAACTCCATGACTATAATTAATGAGTAGTTTAACGCAACCTGAGGATTTCCATAACAAAGATTAAAGAAAAAATACAGTGTTTCTCCCAGTGCCTTAAAACCATGTAGAAGGTCTTGTACCAGAAGTCCTACTAGAAATGAGTAAAGATCTGAAATCCAATGAAAAAAAAAAAGTGATAATTCTTGAGCTGTGCCTGCAGAAGCCTCTAAACGAGAACAAAATCATAAGCTTGACTGACAGAATTAAAATTTTAAATTTTAATTTGTAAGCATGTGTGTGTATACACACGCTTAGTATAGACTGAAAAATGACCAGTGCCTGCATGGGGTACTGCTGTAAGCAGAATGCAGGCCACAGCAGGACTGCACAGGGATCTGTGCTCACTGGAAACAAAGCAAAGAGGCCAAGACGCTACCAAGGTGATCCAATAAGCTCCAAGGGGTTTGAGCACAGCAGAGCAAGCTAAAGAGAAACCCCACAGGTATATATATAAGTGTTTGGCCTCTTCTCATCTCCCTCCTTCCTCCCCTGCAGCAGCAGTGCTGCTCTGGGCAGGCAGGGAGCAGACAGGGGCTTGGGCTGGGCAGTCTCCATTCCTTCCCCAGGCAGGGAGGTTCAGCCCCACTGTCTCCAAGCAGGATTACATGACCCACCTCACGCCGTGGGGTGTCCCAGTGCTGGGCAGCAGAATGCTTTGTGCCTCTGTTCCAGCATATCCAGCTAAGAAGGAAAAAATCTTGAAAAACATAAGAGGGAATAAATGCTTTAGCGTAGTCCTGAGGCAACTGGTCAAAAGATGGCTGAATTACCGGTGTTTTAATCAAATGTCTAGCCTAAATGTGGTTTTGTGAATATACTTAGATTTCTCTCGTCTCTATCAAATACTTTAGCCACTAGCTTGTTAGGTAAAAAAAGGGAGGGTGGGAGTGGGAGGATGACAATATTTTCCAGGAAAAGTGGCTGCATGTGTTACTCATGCCTAACAGATGGGGCTCCTGCAAAGGATAAGGCAGAAAGGAGAGAAGCATATCTGCTGCTCTGCCTGGAGCTCCTCAGCTGAGGGAGAGCTGTGGGGTGAGGTGCTGCAGGAACGCAGGGTTTTCCTCCTCCTGCCTGCTGAGGCTCAGTTTAGGCAGAATTCAGATGGCTTTTAATGTACACACACGTCCAAGTGGTATTGACAGAAACGATTTCATGTTTGGAAACCTCAACGTAACCAAGACCTATTTATAATGGACTAACATCTCCTGAAATGCAGCACTGTAATTATGTGAAAATATAAAACAGATAGTGTCATTTAAAAATACTAGATGGCACATAAAAATGTCTACTTCCTGCCTCATTTCTCTGGGCTTGCAAAACAATAGCATTCATGGAATGATGCTTCTTTTGCCAAGTTTAAACTGGTAGTAAATTTTAATGGCCTATGAATGGAAAAGACTGAAAGTAGCACATGTGGCTGAGCACTGCACAAGGATGCACTGAAATGGCTGTGCCCAGAACCACAGCAGCTCCAGAAGGTTCCATGCAGCAGCACAGCACTGCTCCTATCATCAAGCTCCCCTACACTCTGTTAAGGAGTAATTGTAATAGAAAAACTGGGCAAAGAAGCAGTCTAATATTTATTTTGTCCAGGGGATCAAGCAAGTGTCTCTGCATAGTTCAGAATGGATATTATCATGTCAGGCTGGCAATAACTTGGCTATTTGTGCACCATGCCTCATTACTCAGTGCAGTACTGTAGGTTTTTACAGTCTATACATAGGCACCAAGTAAGTGTACCCTTGGTCTGTTGTTTTTTTCAGAACGAACATAAATAAAAATATTCAGCCTTTCTCAAAGAAAGGATGTGGAACTACTCCATCCTTGGCTATTCAACCTCTCCTGATGATGGTGTGCCACTCACAAAACATTTGCGTATTCACTGAGTGGGAGAGATACTGACTCTGCAGCCTGATGCTCAGAGTGGGAGGCAAAACACATGGATTCCAGTTCCTTCTCCAGGGAAAGTTTAATTATTATGCAAAGTGCGTAAGACTCAGCAGGACCAACCAACAGCCTTCCTAGAGGTGATCATAGCCCTGTCCTGGCGATGGCAATGATGAGTCCATGCCTCTCTTAGCAGAGAAGGAGAACTGAACCCAGACTTCTTTGCTTCTGGTTAAACAATGCAAACTTTTTGTCTTGAATAAAATGGGGACACAGACACTGATTTTAATCAGTTCCACCAGCCCAGGAGAAAGAAAAAAACATGGGTCAATTCAACCTACAGTGTGAACAGTTTTAAGGGAAGCAAACTGTACTCTTAAACAAACAGCTAACTGGCTAAAAATGTTTTATCCACCTATCCAAGTACCCTGTCTATTATGCAATTATCCACAATTTTAGAAATTATTTTAACACTTTACTGTACTACTTTGTTTTGAGCATGTTTTGTTTCAATGTAATTATCAATCACACATATTTCTGTGCAGTATATCGCAAAAATATAAGGACAGGTTGCTAAGATTCATATCTAATTTACAGAAATCAATTTTTCCCCTATATACCCTATATACTCAGGAAATTTCATTAAAATGCTTTGCCTATACTGTGTCAAAACTTTTTTTGCAAATTACATGATTGGAAAGTTAGTAACAAACTTGTAATATAGAACTACCTAACGAATTCATTAGGGAAACTCTGACCTTAGATGTTGCGGAAAATCAAGGCTGTCCCAGCAGGATAAAAGAGTATTTTGGGACATGTGAGACTGATAAATTATAACAGAATCACTAACTTCATGCTACTCTTTCCACATTTGTGGGCAAAAAGAAGTATAGCTACGTCCTCATGAAAACCCAAAAGCTCCTAGCTGCTATTTTACTGCATTCTGGTTCAAGGCAGGTTCAGGTTTACCAGGCTAACCAATTTAGCACTTGAGAGTGAGAGTTATGAACATTTGTCACTGCTATCTTGAAGAAAAAACTATAAGAGGACAATCAGGGTTTTCCATAACACATTGAACATCTCCTTTATTTTCTTTGAACTATATTAGATCTCTGTGACTTTGGAAAGGAAATACTCTTGGTTTAGTCCAAATTTTGCATTCCTATTCCTTGGCCTCTGTAAGCAATGAAGGATTTTTATGAGGCCTAGCTAGAACTCTTTTAAATTTATCTTTGTTTTATAGTTGAGGAACCCTTTCCTTGAAACTTATCCTATGCTACAACTGTCATTAAATTACCAGACACGGAGAATACATAGAAATATCATGTACGTATATAATATACAGTATGTATGTACATATATATATTTAACAAATAAATTGTTACCATAGTTTCAAGCATTCAATTGGCTTCTAACACAATTATAAAGGGAAAAAAAAACAAACCACAAGGCTAAAATTTGCATAGCTAATCCACTACTATTTCTTTGAGCATTTATATTTCATTTTCGAAAGACAAAACTTTGGGGTATCAACCTAATGATGTGAATGGAAGCTCTTTTCAGACACAGCCTTCCAAAGGTAGGTGCTCATTTGCACATGCAAACGGGGTGCATGTAATGCCTGACAGGTTATGTGCACATGGAAAGCAAATAAACAGAGTCCCAGGCACGTGACAGCAATCGATTTACCATAAACACAATGACACATTTTACATCCACGGTCACACGTCTGTCTTAGAACACGCAGATTAGGTGAACACATCTCAGAAACACACAATGGAATACCTAATCTGTAGTGTTTACTTGTCAATGCCAACTTTATTTTTAGAATTACTTGAAAATAAATAAGGAAAACCAGCAAGGTTTTATGAAAGAAAGACTTAGCAACACAGAACAGGATCGGCTTTTGTCTGTCAGTGAGCCAGATACGAGAAACACACGGTGGTTCTGTCAGGTACAATAAAGCATTGAACACAAAACAGCAGGAAAAGTAATTTGCAAGCTTGTATACATACCTAAAACATCTGGAAAGGGAGAGCATTAATGAAGCAAAGAATGGAAAAAGCCAACACAATCAGGTTTTGTACAAAGCATACAGCATGAGGTAAGGTTATAACAAGTGTAACATACACAGAAAAAGGTTTGGGTTCTTTTGACAAAGAAATGCAGCAAAAGCACAAAGCTGGTTCAGTTTCTGCAAATGGCATGTGTCCATATGAAAATTTAACTAAGCCAATTAGGGCTGATTTTCAGATGAATAAGATTTAATGTACTGTACCTTCTTGGAGAAAAAATGTGTTCAAAATTACAGATTTCTACTAGGCTTTTAAAGAAATTTCCCTTTCCTTCAATTTAGTTCTAACATCTCACATGTTAAAACATGTAACAATATTGACAAGCAAACATTTCCCTTTACATCAAAACAAGCTCAATTAGAGAATGTCCTGTCTCAAACTGGCACAGAGAGGAGTAAGACTGTACTATCCACCTAAATCTTTATGAGCCAGACACTATTTTTAAAAAGTTCTCGAGAACATTAATTTTACACTAGATATTCAGTGGCAGCATTGGTTTCCAGTGAGTCAAATCCCAAGTCTATTTTTAACTGATTCCATTACAAAAGCAAACTGTCAGTCGATAGGTGTGTGCAGCATTATAAACTGATTGAGACTCCCTTATAATCCTGTAAATACAGTTCCTCATGGCTATTCCTATTTATGATTATCACATTGGTGTATGTCTCTTTGAAATTAATTCTGGTTTGTTTATTAAATCATTCCAAAGAATGGTGCTCACTTCACTGTTTCCTGTGCTATGTACAGGATATATGTGATATATCCTGTGATATATCACATATATGTGATAAAGTAAGAGTTCTCAAAAAGAGGTACATTTATTTCCCAGAGAAAAGTATTTCGTATTAGTATATCAAGCACAGTACCTTTTTACTACCTTAAGTAATTGATGGAATACTTATTAAAATAATAGTTAAAAAACAACAAACTATTTTCAGAAGTCTAAGAAATAGCCTTCTCTGCTGCTCACAAATGTCATCATAATTGAGGGGTATACCAGTGGCCTGGCTGCATGAGGTACCACTACACAAAGTAAGATGAGTAAAACAGCTTTCCATTGAATCTGGAAGGAAGGAGGGATATGAATTAACATAAAGCAGTTCTGGGGAGCTATATTTGCCATACATATTATATAGTGAATATATATACACATATATTTTCAAAAAGGCATTTTTAAATTATACCAGATGTAGGAATAAACCGCATAGATCTCTGTCCATGTGCCAATGACTGTTCAAGGAGGAGAGAGAAGAGAGGAACTCATCTCCCCACATCTCAGAGCTGTGCAGCCAGAAGACCCTTCCAAAGCAAACCAAAACAAACTAAAACAAATACTGTTTTTCTTTAACAATAATTAATTTTTATTGTGATAAACACCAGTTTTAAATACCTAGGCCAGAACTAAGTCGTTGTAGATAGTGTGGCCAAACCCCCTCCCAAAGAAAAGAAAAGAAAACAAAAAAAAAACCACCCCCAAAGCCCCAGAAAATCCTCTCCCAAAAAAACAAAAAACCAACCCAAAAAACCCCACAGAAAATCAGTACAAATTAAGTGTTTTCTTAAGTTCTGGGGTCTTTTTCTTCATTCCCCACCACCCTACCTCCCCAACCAGCAATTTGAGGAAGAGACCCTATTATTTTCATTTTATAGAAATGAAAATGTAGGTAGAGAAAAAAATTCATTTTCCAGGGCTCCGAGCAGACCTGCAGCAGATACTAGGAAAGAACTAATGTGATGTGAGTCCGAATTTAATGATGTATCTATAAAACTTGTATTAGTAGAGAATACTGTTGGCTGCAGAGCTAATGCCAATAAAATATGAAATGCCAAAATAGCTCTCCTAAAGCAAATCTTTTGTGATCTGTATTATAAGAGAGCACATTCAGGAACATATAGTTGTTCTGTTAGGGCTGCTGTCTCATTCAGTATACAACCCTATACACAGTCAACTGATAAGAAGCCACAGAATAATTTACTTTCTCTTCATTGTCAAATATGTGTTATACATCTTATTTAGAACACAAGGTTCTAATCTTTCTCTGAAAACAGAATGCATAATAATAGCATAAATAGCAGGGCTATTTTGTGGCTTACTTTGGTGGTATATGAAAAAAAATGTTTTTTCCCTTTGAAATATGCCAGTTAGGTGAGAAGCTGGAATTGTCTCTGTATTCTAAAGAGAAAAAATGGAATTACAAGTTATGAATAATTCAAGGGAATTAATTTTCAGAAATGTGCGTCTGATTCTTCAGAGTAATTATCAGTAGAAATTTTATTCAGAATAGAAATACAGGAAATCCTGATTCTTGGGGATTCTTTCTTCTGGAATGGAACATAACCTTGAAGCTTCTTTTAGAAATCAGTGCTAAGACTCAGGACATTCCTGATGCTGCTCTGTACTGTCAGTACAGAGTATCAGTACTGATCTCAGAGAAGGAAAAAATTCTTTGAGCTAGGCTGGGAATGAAAAGAATACCTCCCCAGTTGAATGTCTGCAAAGAGCAGAGCCTAAAATAATTTCAGGGGAATGAGGATTCACAAGGCTGATATTTTACAAGGTACCCAACAGGATCTCCAGTAGTCCATAAAGGACTGCCTGCTTTCCATCCCCTTCTCCAAGTCAGTGCATTACCATGCCACATGTTGATTTTGGTGGTACGCACTATTATTTGACAGGTCCAAAGCTTGGATTTCTGTTTCAGCTACAATACTCAGTATTTGTACTAAAGATGCTTGAAGCATACAAAGAACACTAGTTAAAAATAGCCATCTTCATAAAGTCTGTAAATAACTAATCCAGTGCTACACAGCAATTCTGTATCAGAAGCAGTAAAAGCTACTATTGCACTGGGGAAAGTGCACTGCATCCAATTCCCCACACTATTTTATACATTTTCTGAGAACATTAAGGCACAGGACTGGTGGAGAAGTAGTCTGTAAATATTTGACCAAAGACTGGATCACAGGATACTTAAAGATACTAAAAAGCTGCACAGTTAGCCTTATTATCACTTCCTAACCTTTATTTTGCACTACTTAAATTTGTAAAACTAATAATATTCTTTTGATGGGATATTTTGTTGACTTATAGAAAAGTCATCATACAGACTGAAAAAAAAAATAATCCATTATATAGTGCAATATTGCTACTCACCTCTTCTAGTTCAACCAACTAAATACTCACAGCAGCGGTGTGTTGTCACCTACCAGCAGACTACAATGATATTTTCTGATTTTGACTTTTATTTCTGCCTTGAGGTACATTGCAGGTAGGCAAGGGAACAGGCTGTAACATGCCTGGTACTTTTTTCTTTTGCCTTCTGCAAAGGTTTTCCCACTGTCTTACAAAAGCAGTTACCTTTTCTGACTCCAGCTTATTTTATTTTATCTCCGTTTTCCTCCCAACACTGCTGCCACATCACTCCCCTCCCTCACTTCCTGTCTGATTTCTGCCCTCGCATGATTTATCCCATGCCTAGAGCACTGACCTGGAGGTGCTTTATCAGCAGGTTTAACTATCCCAACTCCTTCTCCACAAGCCCAACCTTTTCCATAATGGATTTTCACTACTTGCCTTCCTGCCTTAGCCTGGCCCACCACCTGCTCCTCCACATGGACATCTTTAAAGTAAATAACTTTTTATTCCATTCTCCTTGCTGCACAGCAAAGGAAGGATTGAAAATTTAAAGATGAGTGTCTTTTCACCTCAGTTCTGTTTGGCTGCCCTGATTCAGTCTGCTGGGAGCAGGTTCTGCTCAGCATCATTGCTGGACCTTGCCAAGGAAAGCTGAGTCTTGAAGCAATTCAGATTCAAAGCTTGGCATGTGTTAATAGCAGCTTTTAATAATTTGGTGAAGTTTTCTCATTATTTTCATAAAATTGCCCAAAAACATGTAACTGAAATTTTTTTCAGTTCACTACCAAATTTCAAAACTCTGCTAGATTACTAGAACAATGGAAGTATTACAGCTTCCAAAAGAAAAGGGTTTGGGAATATTTTAGCATACATAAAATTGATTTTTGCCCTAACTTTATGCTAGAATGACCCAGTTTCTCTGGTCAAAGATCTGAAGTTATTTTATAAATCAGTTAATTTTTAGAACAATTAAACACAACTGAAAGCCTGATTTGTAACTGGAAATCTTAGTTATTAACAGGCCTGTTACAAAAACTAGAGAGACACATCTACCTTTCTATCCACATATTTGCATATATACATAAACACTGTCATCTTTTGGGTGTCTCAAACTGAGGTTCTGTCAGAACTCCCATTTTAAATACCTCCATCGAAAAAAGTACCTTGACACAAAGAAAAATTGTTGATGCTCTCAAAAGTATGGTTCTACATGAGATAAAGGCATACAGGATTGGGCAGCATTTAATTTTCATGGAATTTTTTTTTCCTGTATCAAATTTTGTGATAGGTGTTTCACATATATATGAATATTTTAGCATGAGGAATGAATGATATGCTTTTACTACTGCATGTATTTGTACAATACTGCAAAATTGCACAAGCTTTGCTGATGAGGCTGATAACTTATCCATCATGATTCTGTTTGCTCCATAACTAGTTGACCTCCATAATTATTACCAATTTTCAGTCCTACTCAAATTAAATGACAGTTTATCTTTTCATCAGATGATTAAACAGTCTTTGGGGACAAGACTGAAATTCACACAGAAGAGTATTCTTCTTGTGTGTAAAGCTATTAATTATGTTGTTAGAGTACATTGCATTTTGATATTTTAAAACTTAAAATAGGACACACTTAGAAGCTACAGATTACTTTCAAGCAAAAATTCACAGCCTCCATATAGCTGAAAGCAAAGGTTTTACAAAACAAATTTTCAAGAAAGGGAAGTCAAAATTTTTAAGGTGAAGAAGCTTATTCTAAAAAGCACTACTATATTAGGCAAATGCTAAATATTCAGTTACAGTTCAGGTGTTGCTGGAATTTTTTTGTTGGAAAACTGATAAGAACTTATTTAATAGGATAAATTAAATTACTTTCTTGTTCCACAAAAGTTACAATTTTTCAATATGCAATGCTGTGTTCAGGGGAAATCAGTCTCTCTCAAAGGCTACTATGAGGAACCTGTAGCTCTGTAGAGACAGAAACATGACTGGAGTATTCACCTGGGATGTAGCAAGTTCCCCTGTTTATTGGTATTTGATGGGGGACTCGCACAGGATTTTTTATGGGACTTTTGTCCTGTATCTCAGTCAAGCCTGACAGGAGGATGTAACTCCTGGCAGGATTAATCTTAGAATCATACAATATTTTGTATTGGAAGGGACCTTAAATTCCATCTAGCACTAGCCCCTGCCAGGGACAGGGAACCTTCCCCTAGACCTCCTGGCTGTCTCCAGGGGTCTCTATGCAGGGAATGCACCAGTGACAGCAGCAGTCCTGGATACAATACATCCTGCTCTAGAGGAAAGGCAAAGGCAGTTGGGAATTAAGACTCTAAAATTACCACCTTTTCCTCCTAAATCTAAGGACACCTTGGGTTTGGAAGCTCCAGTGCAGCCACCTGTACTGTAAATGGTTACATTTAATTACAACTCCCCAGCTAAGCTTATTCTTCTCTCTGGGTAATAAATGTTTAAATTTTGATACAACTGGACAAGCTTAAGTACAAAAAGACTCACGTAAGATGACAGATATTTAGGCTATGGCTGTAGCTTATACAGTTTTTTAAAAACATCTCCCTTTTTGCATCCTTCGTTTTTTTTATACTAAGCTTATGATTAGTTTAAACTGATACAAAATTCATAAAATGTGTACTTCAATAATTGTTCTCAGACTTCATGTCAGAAGATTTCATACTAGAAATCTTATTCAAAATAATGCATAATTTCAGTAATATCCATATAATTCCAAGTATTTGAAAACTGCCACTTGACCAGAAGAACATGTCTTCAGATTTTATAAGAATGGCTGCCTCTCTCCACTGAGGCAAACAGAAAAACTGAGCATAAGCACAATATACCAAAATCAGCACTACAGGAAGTTTACCTGATAGTGATTTTAAAATAATTTCTAGTGCCAGGATTTCTGAGTTATGGGAACTGTGATTTTCTCACAGCAGAGAGAAGGCTATTTTTTGCTCACACATATGAAATAAGAGTAGCATACTTCACAGGCAAATTGTAGATGGCATCATTACAGGTACTTACCTAGGCTTGATCTCGTGTTAGATCGCTCTATTATCGCATGCTTACTGGGATTGTTTAATACTGAGCGTTTGGCAAGAGAGATATCTGCTGTGACTCGTGTAATTGATATACTGCAAAATAAATACAGCAAAACAGTACTGAATGTTATTTATCTTTCAGGGATGTGGGGAGAATTCTCATTTAACACTAGAAGATGGCTAAAACAACAGGAAAATAAGTTCTCAGCAGCACAGGATGCTTCACCCAATGTGAACAGAGAAAAAACTTTATCTAACTTAATACGCTTCCATAACTACTGATAAGTCATCCTCCTACAAGTGCCTGGGGAGAGGGGAGGCAGCAGGAGGTCAGGGATTGCTGCAGAGGATGGGACTTCCCTGGGGTCTCCAGGTCTGGTGAGGGTCTGACATTTAACCAGTATTCCCAGTATGAACAGACTAGTTTCTCCTTTCCCTGACTTCTTGAATGACAACCTGGCTTACTTTAGCCATACCTGTAAGACATGTAGGGATATGCAGAATTAAATGGTAAAGGTAAGGCTTATCAGGGAAACAAGTCCAGCAATGTAAGTCAGGGGGTTTTTGTTGGTGGGGGCTTGTTTTTGGTTTGGGTTTTTTAGGCTTTTTTTAATTTTATTTTCAGTTTACTAGCACATGTTTTTCTAACAGCGTGCAAGAGCTACCTATAAATTTCCAGAAAGATTAATTGCTAGCAATATGCTAGCCACCTAAAAATAGGAACTGTAACATGGAGATGCAAATACTTGAAAAGTCTATGTTGACTATCTGGCAGGCTCACTTTTGTGCTGATGAGAAAAGATGAGCCAAAAAAAGAAGTGGTTACTTTCAGTTGTTTTCACTGACCTGCTACATAACTTTCTGCATATTCTTCTTCCTAAGAAAACAGTTATTTTGGCTTGTTTTGCTTTACAGGGTCAAAATGCACCCGTAAGTTCCCTTTCAAACACTCTGGTCTAATGAGGTCTAGAGGTCACATTTTTCCAGTGCTGAGAGTTAAATCAGACTGATGATATTCCCTTATTCTTCCTTGTAGGATTTTACTTGCAATTTAAAAGAGGAAATGGATTTGCTAAGAAGGGGAGGGCTCCTCTCCAGCAAGCACAGTCAGATGCTGTTTCTTCATCTGAAATGTAATCCAATAGGCCATTTCCCAATGAACTCAACATGTGTATGCACTTATCTAAAAAACGTAGCAGAGCCACAAGCTAGTATGAGAAAACAGAATTATGCGCACAATACTGATTAGCAATATAATTTTGGAAATCTAGGCATGATTTAACTAAAGCTAAAAGCATAACCAAAGATTGTGATTTTGGGCACAGCTCCTCACAGACGCTGCTATTGGTCTTTAAATTAAATCAAACGTATATTGGGATGCTTACTAGTTTTCTTTATTTGATAATGGAAGGACACTAAACTTCTACAGCTTTTTGGGTTTTTGTGTTGATTTGTATTTTTTCCTGCCAGTCTTTCTTCCTACAGACAATACAAATTTTTTGCCTTTTTAAATGAAATTATGGTATATTGAACTATGCTATATTTATGAGTCTATTTATCTATGAAAAATACTATTTTTCATTTTAAGACTTTTTATCATCTTTCTGAGCACATTTTCATGTTCTTTAGAAACATCACATCAGGAAGACCAAGTCTGCCCTCAAAACAAAAGGTGTGTATGCTCATATTGCAAAACAATTACAATGAGAGCAGGGACAGCACTGTGGCCATTCAAAGCATGAATTTGAGAATCCCTGGTGCAAATTTTTTCAGGACCTCAAGTAATGATTCCAATTGCTACAGAAGTTTGGGATGGTATTTATGGATTCACCCTGCCACAATGGGATCTACAACTGAAAATCTGACATGTTCTAAAAGACTTGAAGACATAAAGATTAAATAATTTTCTTCTGCTTGCAACAAATGTTTTGTTAACTTCCAATTCTGAAGATGTGTTATCTGGGGTTTGACAATCATGACTAATATAGAGAGTGGTTAGGCATTGACATCATTATTCTGACTGAGAAAATCCACCAGATTAAACCACAATGCCTGGTATTTTAAAGGACTGAAGATATTGACAAAAAACTCAAGCTCCCTCTTCAAAGTTTTGACAGCAGCAGGACACACAGTGTAGTGTTATGGATCTGCCCACTTCCAAACTAAATAGAATATTCCTTGAAGTTACAGATATTATTATAACATCTTCCTGTTTCCACAATTTTTCCTCTCACTATCATCCCATTAGGACTTATTAATCTGGAGCTTGATCCAATACCAATATAATCATGGCTGGAGAATGCATCTGATGTCTGCTCCACCGGTCTGTGATGTTGGAGTTATAGACCACGACAATGCTTTTAGAGACAGACTGTTATTTGACATCTGCACCACAGAAATGCCTGAAGGCTCAAATACAAATCCCATTGTGTTACAGCCTAGCATGCTGCAAGCACTCGGATCAGAACCCAGTGAGTGCAGCTGCTCTGCTGCCAAGGGTGACCAGATTTCAGCAAGGTGGGGGATTGCCCCACCCCTTCATCCCAGTCCTTTTGAAACTTCCCACTATAGAGCCCGGAACTACTGTCAAACCAAGCTCCTAGCTTGAGGAATCAAAAGTTTGACAATCCCATACACCAGAGAGTCTGAATCCCATTACCACTCTTTCTGAGTTGGATGCCAAGTAAGGAAGAAGAGTGAGGAGGAACCGTGGCTATTGTCAGTTTGCTCAAAACCTGGGAAGCATTGATGAGTTATCACTTAAAAAATACTTAAAATAACTTTTTAATCTGTAGATAAATATCTAGCAATTTGGAGTGTGCATGTCACAGTCATCAAGAAGAAGACATCCTTTCTTCCACTCTCAACAAATATATGCCCCAGAACACTTCCCACTGCAACACAGCCTCTGCATGTTCTGTCAAGGAAAATTCCAATCCACACTACAGTCCACTGATCAAGGAATTGGCTATCATTCCGAATTTTGTCCAATGTTATTATTTCTTAAAAACCTTGTAGTACCCAAATGGAACCTGAAGTATATTTGCATTGCAAAGTACTTACCGCCCTTCGAATCTATGTTTTAAAAAATCAAATAATGCTTTTTGCATCATATCTGTTACCTAGAAGGAAAAAAACAACAAATTAATGATCACATAGGAAATTCATAATACTTAATGCTAATATTATTATATAATAAAGCTGACAATAAATCTTGTATCCGAACAACAGGATTGGAACACGATTTATTCTTAATCTCAATTCTGACATGAAATAAAATACAAATAAGCAGCTATTCCATAGGAGTAAAAAGCTGTCTGACATTTGCCTATGTTATAAATTATCAAATACAAATGAAGCACAGTATTTTGTCAAAAACAAGACCATTGAGTCAATTACCTCATATCCCTTCAGAGAAGGCCCCACTAAAACTACTGGTCGCATAGAAGGCACTACATCATAGGGAGGGATGTGCTCTGTCTGCAAAACAAAAAAGGTTTTCAGCATCATGGCCCCTAGAGAAAATGTTATATACTCTTTACAGTATCAGGAACTCTGAATTTCCAGCAATGTCACAGGAATCTCAGGTTAATTAACTTTTCCCAGAAACTGGTAGCACAAGAGAAGGACAAAAGAGGTTTGGGGATTTCTTTTGAAAAAAATTTCTTTGACTTTAGGGTTTCTTACTGTTTTCATATTTTCTCTGGATAGTTAAAACCTCTTATTCTGGATCATGCACATTTCCCACTGCATAGTTCCTAACTCGTAAATTTAAAAGGTTATTTCCAACAACTAATTAATTGAAATGGTAAATTCTACAGATGTTTTCAACAGAAATTTTATATAGGAAATTATGAAAGAGAAAAATAAAAGAGGATGAGAAAAAAACCCACAAACCATCTATTTTTTTAACATTCAGATCTGCCCATTGCTTAAAAAAAACATTGTGACATCACTGCAAATTCCCATGGCAGTACTTCGTCTGACATCCACATTTGCACCCACAATTCAATTACAAATTAAATCAAAGTAATGACTGATCAAGTTAGTATTTCTAGAAAATTATCATAAGCAGAGCTTGGGATAGCATTTCTTCCACTTTGGGAAGTTCTTGTCACCACCCAAGAATGGATTCTGGTAGTACCATATTTACCAAAATACTAACTGATGTATCATACACAATTTCTAAAAAAGTATTCTGACACACAGAGATAAAAAGATTGCCTCGTTTAAAGGACTGCAAAAATTTTATATTGTTATCACAATACAATTAAAAAAAATAAACTACTGAGTTTGGTTTTTTTTCTTCTTTAGTAAGTGGCTGTTCAGTATATATCTCCATGAATAGGGTCTTACAAAAAAGAGTTTTTTGTTCATAAGGAAGGTTTTGGTTTGTCTTGGGGAAAAAAAGATTGAAATCCAAACCCAGAAATGTGTGGGTGTTACAGAAAAAGAAATGCCAGATCTATTTTTCCAATGCTTACATAGTATAAATACATCAGTCAAGATCACAGAATACAGACATTGTTCATTGTTCCAGAACTCAATGTATCCCAAGGTGTTTCGCAATAACATTAAAATAAGTATATACATTCCAAAACACAAACCCACAAAGACAGACATTGATACAGTGACAGCACACAATGCTACACAAGCAGCAGTCTAAAGCAGTCTAAAACACAGAAAACATTTTTGTGAATGTCCCTCAATGTAATTTATTTTTTGTTACCTGTAGTTTCACTAGATAATTAATAACATGAGAATGAATACCAGTGCCCAAGGCATCATAAGCATGTGAAATGAATTTATTTTTCACAGTACACAATCTGACTCAACACGTTTCAAAGCAAATGCCTGCAATTAGGCTGGGCCTGTATCCAAAAACAGCCCTCCACTGTTCTTGCTAACATTTCTAATAATCTGCTAAGCGTATTTGAGACAGATTCGAAGACAAATTCATTACAGTTGTGCAAGTGCTTTTAGCATGAGTGCCCTGATGCAACAGATCTTTGTCTTAATGTGGCTGACTTAACCAAAGGCATTCATGCTAGAAGTTAACCAGGTATTCAACGATCAGGGCAAGCATAGAAATTACCTTATTTGATGGAATATGGGTATTTTTAAAATCTGTTCTGTTGCATTGGGCATTTTTTTCTCTAATCTTTATAGTTTAAAATAATGAAGCTGTCAGCAGAAAATTGAGTAGAAGTGATCTAATGGAAGCATTTAAGTTCTTTAATTTAGCAGTAGAGAATGTAAGATTTTCTAAGAGACTGGCACTGAACTAGACAGCTTTCACTGCAGATTCAAGTTCAAATATGAACTCAGAATAAAAACTGGCAGATTTGACCATATGGCTTTTATTCAGTGGTTTGACTATGTAGATTACTTTGGGAAGGCCATCCAGTACGTACTGTAAATGTCACTATTACAAACTCTACTAACAATAGCAATAATTCTGATATGGAAGAAAACAGGCACCACAAATTAAAAAAAAGACCTCATCCAGGTCTAAAGCAGTTAATCTAGAAGCTGCATCTTTGAAAGATGCTTATGCAGATAACATGTCAACATGTATTATTCTTCCCTATAATTTTTATCCAATTAAAAATATGATTAAGTAAGAAACGACTCAGAAGTAAGAACCTGCTGTAGATTTTCCCACCAGGCTTAACAGACCAAACTGAAGCCAATAGTAGTGACTTTGGAAATGAGAAGGATTCAATACTATGTAAAAGAGTTCAAGAAAAGAGAAACAGAAATAAAGATCTAGTTATTAAACACGAGAGCATCCACAGCAGGGACAACAATGTCACTTGGCACTGTTTAAGCACTATAACAGTCTGTTATTACCTGTAGATTTAAGGGAGTGGTTAAAACCAAATGAATGAAAGCTATGAAGACTAAAGATTTTAAAACAAAAAAAGTCAAAATGTAGTAATTCACTACAGAGTTTGGCTGCTACTTAATGTGTTGCTAACTTATTCCAGCAAAGGTCCTAAAAATGTATTGCAGCTTTTTGCAACAGGATGCCAATTGCATAATTCTGTAGTTATCTGGGTTATCTATGGAGAGACATCGGCTCTCCTGGGAACCACCAGTACCATTTCCAATAGCTGAGATACTAAAAAAGTCTCACTGATGGATGGCAAGAACATTTGGCTGATAATTTATACATGACAACAAAAAAAACTTGAAGTAAACTGTCGAAATGAGTCTGAGGTTTTCCATTGGCCTTGTGCACTTGCAGACTTTTCACTTAGGAAGTGAGCTTGGAATTAGAAGCTTAAGTACAGACAAAATTAAAAACACAATAAATCTGACAATTTGTTTCCTAAGTCCAAACTGAGTATCTGATAGATTCCAATAATGATTTCAACAGACTGAGTAATAAAGAAAAAAAAAAACAAAACAAAAATCTTGAGAAAGATATAGAAAGTATAAACATGCACTAGAGGAGTGTATTACAATGCTAGAAATAATTTTCTCAAACATTTAGAAGCCCTTCTAAGTGTGTCCTATTATTCCATCAAAAAGGATAAGTACATAGCAGTTTCACAGACACACTGAACTTTTGCCTGTTTTCCTGTAATGAATCCACTACCAGCTCAACACATCTCTCCATCCTTAATTCTAGAACAGCCGCATTGTTAATCTGGAGTCATAATGCTAATGATGCCAGTGGCAGGATACACACAGGCAGTGTCGATATAAACTTACCGATTTCTGCTTCTGCTTAGCTACAGCAGCATGGAAAAGAAACAAAGAACAACAAAGCATGCATGTTATTGGCTTGTCAAAGGACACAGACAGTTAACAGGACTAGAAATGCGACGCAGTGCAGGTGAGCAGGTGGACAGATGGGAGCTTGGAAGTCGGTGTTACCTTCTTAAAGAAGGGCATTCTTTTCTCTTTGGAGTGGGGTGATGTTACACTGTTTGCACTGGGTTTGGGGGAGCGATGATTTGCTGGAATATCATTTTCTTCTGCATCTAAGCCAGTGGCATCTATGTCTACAGCTATATATAGACAAACAATTCAGAATTATCAGATGACAGGGAAAGTAAAGATAGGTTAAAAAGGAAATTTCAGGTAAAGAGAAATAAAACTGTCCAGAGTAATAAATAAATAAATAATAAATGAATAAATAAATAAAAATTAAAAGTCAACCATGAGAAAAAAAACCACAATAAAACAAAGGGAAAAATTTAAAGGTGCAGTACATTAGGATTAGAAGACAGAAGGCAATCTGTAACAGCTACTGTAATATTTACAAAACAGTCAAATGGCCAAGTTTGTTCTTGTTACACTGGTACAAATCCAAAGTATTCACTGGAATAGGTAAGACTTCTACCAATGTAAACAGCAGAACCTGGTCAGCAACATTTAGATTATTTTATAGCAATAAACACTAATTGAAAATGGGTACCATCAATTGAAATTTGAAATGTCACTACTGTGTCTATGTGACATGAAGAAGTAGAAGAAAAATCACTTTTGATAACAAAATGATCCAGATAGTGGTACAATGTTATCTACATTTATCTCAGGATGGACTACAATTGGCATTTTTAATCTCTGTAAATAAAAATGCATTGTACTCATATGATACATTTATTAGGAATAATTAAACAGATCTATTAATAAAATGAAAACAAAAAAGAATCGATAGCAGAAGAAAGGAAATTTATCCCAGCTTGGCTCAGAGACACGGATCCGATGTAGAGAGAGGATGTAGGCAAGGTAAAATGGAAGTGAATACAATAAACATTTGCTGTTCAATCTATGTAATACAATCAATATAAAAAAAAGTGCTTATACCATAACTACAAATTATTTATACCATTCGGCAAGAAAGTAGTAACAGTTTCAACAGAAATCCTCACAGACTCAGTAATAAATACACTTTCAAAATGCAAAGTCATATTATCCTGAATGCTGAGTAGAACAGATACGTGCCAACTACATCTAAAATGAAACAAAACCAAACAAAACCTTTCTTGTTTACAACAATTAATTCTGATCTTAAGTAGCGATTTAAGCTTGTCTTCAGAAAGCAAGTGGATGCAGAAAATTGAACCACAAACATGTACAACATCCCCCTCGTGTGTGAAGATCTCACCCACCTCTGCACTCCCTCTGGTAACACATGTTTATCTTACCATGCCATTATGTCGAACTTAGCCTAACCCTAAATAGATCTGTAAGCAGAATCATTTGTATTGACTTTATCCAAACCCTTAATTAATCATTGCAAACTATTATGAAACCATCTTAGTGACCTGATTTCATCTGCTTCATGAGTGGGACATCAACTAATACAGTGGCATGAGCTATTAAATTATGTAACAAATAAATATTTCTGTCAAGCCTACGTGGAGCTACTGATAAAAAAGACACTTGGGGCAGTGATCTCTTTTGTTTGCATAAAGTACATTTCCCATCTGAATTATCCACAGATATAATGCCTTGATGCCTGACATTCCCTGAGTTACTGTGCTTTTGAGTCTGCCCTTCCCAGGAAAAACCCAGTGAGTAGATGCGCATCCTGTTTCTATAATCCTGCTCCTAAAAACAGCCACAGAAATCATGTAACATTTTCTTCTAGCAACACTGTTCCTTCATCCTCTTCATAAGTAAAAAAAGAACATATTATCTTTTCTTGAATACAGGCCAGCACAGACGCTGCAAATCACTCACAAGACATATTAGAACTCCTTTGGTTCTATGATCAACCAAAATTGTCAGTAAAGAAAAATCAGTTACCTTAAGCTTTTCCTGTAAGAAAGAAATGCAGAATTTGGTCAGCTAGTTACCAATATCTCCTTTTTTCATTTTCAGTCTTCACACTATGGAACATCTCCTGTGACAGTTCTTTAACTATTTTTAGTTCGTTGGGATTTTTTCAGTCATTTTCGGCATTGTTCTTACCCAGTTTGGTGGCCTAACAGGATTGTATGGATTATTTGCTATATCAATATTGATTATTTAAATGGATATGAGCCTCTCTTTCATTTGTTTCTCACTGGTTCTTCATCTTGTTTGTCTGTTTGTTTTGTTTTGGTTTTTCTGTGGCACTATTTTATATTGAAAAAACCCTATCCCTGACTCAAAGTAAAAAAATGAAATTAACTTACTCAGTTAGTATTCTTCAACTCATTAAATAATTGATGTATTTACAAATTACTATATTTTCAAATAGAGGTGTGGTAGTAATAATTGCATTGTGTTTTGAAGTCACTTGAATTCTTGTTTTAATCACAAGCTATGCTTCTTTCACCTTTCTTAGGATGTCTTAACAAAAAATAATGCAAACTCAAAATCTTGCGATCACAGAACAAGCTAATGTGCACTATCCATATATATTTTCCAAATCTTCACTGTAACTGAATAAACTTTAACAGATTTCCTTCTTTCTCTTGAAAGACAGTATCTGAAGAAACAACTCAATGCAATGAAAATTAGAGGATGGGTAGCAATCAGTCAGCTGGTAATCTAGGTGATGTCTGTGCTTTTAATTCTAAATTCTGTGCAACATTCTGGAAATATATATGTACTGATCTTCAAGTGTTTTTTTGATAGCAAATATTATTACAGAATTCCAGATGCTCTAAGATTACAATATAAGTCCACGGACAATTTTATTACAGAAATGTAGTTGTTGAAAAAGTTGGCCTTAACAGTAAATACACCAGTTTAAAGCCATCAGAAAATAATAGATTAAGGTGTGTTCTACACTCTTGTTAAAGACATACATTAGTAAACTAATACAATATTTTCAAAATAAAAGAGAAGTTCAACTGAGGTGGAATTTTTATAAACAAACTGCAATTGTAATAATGTTAGTTGTTGCTAACAAATCCAAGGTTTCACAAGACAGATATATTTTTCAATTAATTGAACCAAATGAAGCCACTACCAAAGCATGATTTAATTTCTCTGTCTCCCTTTTAAATGACCAAGTAAATACTTTAAAATCTTCAGGCTCATTTTAAGATGCCTGCTCTGTAGACCAGACTCCATATAAATGAATATGATTGGAAGATCCATCTCTTTGCCCTGGTATACAAGGCACTAGCAACACTCATTAATATTTTCTGTTTTCAGAAAACATGGGAAGATAAAACATCCAGCAACACAGCAGCTGAATTCCATAGAAATTATTTTTGTGATCTTTTGCTGTGCTTTTTTTATGGAGCTAATGCCAGCATCCTCCCATTTGCCATGTATTTACTTCATATCATTTGATATTGAAACCAACCTAACTAAAGTTAAATCTGTATGTTGATGCTCTATGTACAAAACAGTATTTTTGAAAAATTTGTCAAAGGCAAAAAATATCCTGTATCCTAGAATTACGTGAAGCACACCCTCGTGATCAGAATTGTGAAACTAAGTGTTCCTGATGTTTTAAAATAATGCCTTTCTTTATGCTGCTGCAGAAACCTCTCAGGAACTTCTATTTTTATTGCTGTTTTTTTCTCCTGTACAAGAAAGGACTTATTGTTCAGTAGGAGTACTCAGACCAGACCAAACCTTCCACTATCCTACTGTAATGTAGTCTCAGATCTCTTATGTCTTCGCTACAAAATTCTGTGGTAAAACAAAAGAGGGAATTTTGTGCTTTTAACAGCCCTATCACTGCCTGAACTTGCTGGCATTGACTCCATTACTTCAAAAAGTGACACTTAAAACCACCCCAAACCAGCCTTATATGGTAACACATCCCTAGGGTTTTACCTATGAAGAATGGGGAATAAGAAGAGGTCTAAAGGTCCATGAATTTTAACAGATTAGGTTCATGAGTCTCTTTACTGAGGGGTTCACAACCTACTCACCAGATGATGGAGGCGTCGATTTTCTGGAACTAGGAACGATGTCACCCAAACTGGATGAAGAGTTTCCTCCTGATTTACTGGAGTAAAGTAATAAATTAACTTGAAGTTCTGTAGCTTTCTCAGTATTTAATCTAGTTTACTTATTATCTGCTTTTTAAATGAGATGCTAGCTGTGACACAAACAGTATTTCTGGCAGTGGTATAAAATATACATCTCACACAAAATGCATTTTGAGACCTGAGGAACTGCAATCATCAATCCTATTTCCTGTGCTGCTGTGCAATTCATTCTGCTGCTCTCACTTCCTCATGATCTTAATACAATTCAATAATTAATATGGCCACTAGTATATATTAATTAATATTACTACCCATTAATAAAAGTAATTCTTAAGCCAGTGAGCATATATGTTTCCTTTAGCTGAGGAGTTATTGATAAATTCATATTGAAGATGAGACTGCGTTTATCATCTTTTTCAATTTAATTAAAGTACAAATTCTTTTGCTTTCTCAATGCAATTTAGCACTTAAGAAAAAAAGTTTCTCAAACAAAGTTAAAGCAGTCTAAGGTTTTGCCAAGTTCAGCCTTGTAAAAACCTATCCAAGTTGTGAAAATGAAACACCAGTTCTAGTCTTCTTTATTTCAGTTACCATAATGAAAAAAGCTCAGAAAAGATGTAAGAAAGGTTATTTCACTCTTCAAAGAATTCATGTGATAGCACTATTTTCCACTTCCTCTATTTTAAAATATTAATAGGCACTAAGTAAATGCATTTGTGGTGTAGGACAATGTTATCTTCAGTGAGAATTTCTGAAGAATGGAAGCCTCTGTGATTTGGAAAGGAACCGAATCACTGGGACAGATCTGGCTGTCCCAGAAGTGTCACTGGAGGAATAAGGAATCCAGCATCCTTCTGCTGAGGACAGCACTCTCATGGGAAAGGCATTTCACAGCTGGTGATTGCAGCTGAGCACTGCACAGTCACGGTGTCCTACTCAAGACAATGCTCTACAAACACTGCTGCCCTTCCTACGGAGATAGGAGAGCATTTCTGGTTTCCTGAATGATCCCTAGCCCAACTCCTGGTCCATCCCACTCAAATACACTGGGAATATTTGTTTCCTTTATACTCAAAGGGGAACAAGTGACACTTGTTTCCACAGGTGTTACTAGAAAACTACTTTATTAAGAATTCAACAGTAAATGTGACATTATTCTATCTTTTAGTACTGTTAAGAATATCTAGAAACAATCCTTTTTCTTATGCAACGATGACTGCAGTCAGAGATAACAAATGACGTGACATGAAACTTCCATAAAATGTAGTGCTCTTAAAAACTGTATTTCTAGGCAATGAATTTGACAAGACTATTTTTTCCCTACGAGCTAACTAACAGGCACTAGGTTTGGCTTACAAGTAAATTAATCTTAACATTTTCTCTAATTTCTAAAATGAGCTTTAAATGTGTTTAGAAATAGCAAGATCATCAAAACAAGTAAAAACATGCTACAGAATTTAGATAAATCAATTTTAAGTCAAAAAATTTACTAGCACATAGTAAATGTACTTACTGCAATGTATATTAGCAACTATTTTATGACAAAAAGAAGGAAACTATTTCAGTTGTAGGCCACCACAGATCACCCATCTAAATATCTATTTTTATTCTCGAATAGAAATGAAACTAATAAGCTTATGAATAAACAATCTAATATATAAAAACAATTTTGTATATTATATAATAAATAATATAATTCATTATATATTAATTATTTTAGATATATAATTAAATATATATATAAATTCTTCATTGATTAAAAATGTTTGTAGCTGTCATTAACAATAATTAAGCATATATATGACCGATACACAGTATCAATTTCCAAGCTGTGTCACAGACAATGTTGCTATTATCAATGATTTCTTATTACCTGGAGTAGAATTTTCCTTGTTTTGCCTTTTGTTCATGCTGCAGCCTCATGTTTTCTAGTTTGACTGGGCTTGGTATGAATCCTATTTCACAGCCTTCTTTTACCAATCGTCCTATCCACCAGTCATTATTAAATTTCTACAGATTAAAAAAAAAAAAAAAAAAGGTAACATGCTGAGAAATTACTGGATGTAGGATAACTTTGTTATTAGATTTAATTTTCAGCTATGCTATTTTTTGTCATTCTTCCTGGCAATCAATCACTGTGCTATGTTATTATGGCAATTAAGAATTGTGGTAATATTCAGAAATGCATTAAAATAATTATTCCTTTCAAATTATGAAAATCCACAGTACTTAAGTGGAAACCTTCCTGCAAAGATTTCATGTTTCTCTGTGGTTTTTATTCCTACCCATTTCACCATCTTTATTTTTTCTTGCTTCATAGTCTTCCTCTCTCATACATGAGAGCTGCTTTTGTTCTCCCTTCATGGTTCTCCTTGGTGGACACCAGAGACTTAGGATCTACTCTCACCTACTGCTACAATTTTTATAGCTCTGCAATAATCTATTTTTCTTCTTCCATCTTATTCAGTTCTCTGTTTAAATGAAAAAACATACTACTTCTCAAATTCCCCCACTTTTCACTAAAATCTTCTGAAATATGACTGAATTCAGCTGCTTATATATAACCTACTTCAGATAGCTCATGTGATCTGCATCTTAAACTTACTATGATAGATCCACAAGGAATGAATATCTTTGGATAAGTAAAACAGCCTAACAATTACACAAGACCACCAGATAGTCCAATTAACTGAATTGCAGCTTTGTTAAATATGAGATATTGACTACTTTAATTGAACACCTTTATTCATACACACCCCCCACCACATGTGGGGGAGGTTGGTTGTTTTGCAAAAGTCTGTACAGCAGAACTATTTGCTTTTTCCATTCTTATTTATTCACCATTTTTGACAGAGAATAGGTCACTATGGGCCCACACACAATACTTTTGGTGTTCTATGGGAATAACTACCATCAAGTAAGAATTTTGGGTCATTTGGAATATTTACGAAACTTTAAGAGAATGTCTGAATGTGAAGAAAGTAGCCTTCTTGAATATGATACTATTAATGTAGATCGGATCACTGATATACAACCTATATTGCAGTATCATCTTTCACTTTGGCAGCTCTCAAAATCTTATGGTGCTTGAGACTAAGAGATATTCCAGCTAACAAATAAAATAGAGATTAAAAAAAAATCACTTTTAAGCTTATAAAACATAAGGAAATCTATAATATTCATCCAATAGGATGCCTTTGTAAGAAAGTAAGAATACCAGCATTTCATAGGGAGCTACTCTGAAACAGCAGTTTCTCAAAGTTGTATTAGACTGAAATGTACTACTAAAATACTAACCTTTCATTACAAAAGGCTAACTAAATCATTAACTTGGTAAAAGGAAGAGATATAAAATTAAAAACCACCATTAAATTAAAATCTGAACCGATGTTATTTTTGTCCTACAGTACAACAGATCACCACACAATAATATTAATTTTATTACAGAATAGAAATCCTAAATCCATAGGAAGTTCTTTGTAAAGAAATAAAAGCATGTGGAATAAACTTCTGCAAGGTCTCAAAGATAAATGCTGTATCAATATACAAGGATTATAAGATACTTTTTAAAGTGAATAATACCACACATAAAACTTTCAATTTAATTTTTTTTTGAGTGATTCTCTGTAATTCACCTGTGTTTGGAGTGCCAAGGGAAACACACAAATTAATTCAACACAATGCAAAATGATGACCAAAGCCTCAAGAGATCTGTAAGATACTATGATGCAGCAGCTTCTTCACGCAGGAAGGGATCCGTCATCCTTATGTGTACTGAGTTTTAATGAATGCAACCTAATAATGAAGATAAATTTTCCTCATACTCAATCACTGCTGCACTTTTCATAGTTTTCCATGTACATTTTGAATTGAGGTTTTTCTTGTTTGAGCCCTCTCAGCAGCACAAATTGGTGAACAGCCCTCGGAGACAAGAAGAGGACAGCATTGGTCCAGAGTGGCATCATTATGCAGGCAGAAGCTACTGCAGATTAACTTCACTTTCTTTATTTCTAGCAACAAGCAACACTACATTTAATAGTCTAATATGTTTTTTCTTTAATCTGTATAAATAATTATAGTTTGGACGATTCAGTTTCCCCAGCATTAACTGCAGGGAGCACCAGAAGTACTGAAGGAGCAATACCTGATGGGATACAGAGCCCTGGAGGATGAGCAGGGCATGGCACAGAGATGGAGCGGAAGGATGTGGCTGTGCAGGAAAGGGCTGAGCCTGGTGCACCCTCTGAAGGAGCTTCAACCCACCCAGACACAACAGCTGCTGCCAAACGAAGGGCAAGAAACTAAGTCCAAGTTTGACTCCTTGTGGAACCCTTTCCAAGTCTGACTCCTTGTGGATTCCTTTCCAAGTCTGACTCCTTATGGAACCCTTTCCAAGTTTGACTCCTTGTGGAACCCTTCCCATCTCACCATTCCAGCAGTGCAGCTGGCCTGGTCCCAGGGTCCCTTCCCAACCCATCTCTGGACTAGCACCAGAAGACCCCCTCTCCCTGACAGCTTACAGAGAAAACCAGGTGTTTTTAAAGGCAATCAGCACAGAATGCCTATTCTATTACACCTGGGGTTTCAAGAATATTTTAATCCGTTTTTCCACCCCTCAGTGTGCTGCATGCAGACACAATGTAAGAACTCAACTGAGCTAAGCTTCCTTTCAAGGCATTTTGGAGATGCAGAAAAGTTCAGGAGACTTTTCCGTCCAGATTTTCTCCCACAGACATATACATCTGAGACTGAGTTGTGCTGTGAAGAAAAATGCATTAACTTTTAACAGAAAACTGCTAACCCTGTGCGTCTGGTTTATGTGGAAACAGGGGAAACACCTGATGTAAAGTCTGAGATTACCACTTCATTTGAAGTGCAGATGGAATAGATGACTACAAAAAACCATTTGACCTAACCAAACTGAGCCGTATTTTCCAGTGCTCAAGACTCACTGGAGAAGGCTGATGGTTTTCTCTTGGCAGGACTTTGTGCTTGCTCATCTTTGCTCATCTCTTCTTTTGTCGCAAGACAGAGCAGAACAATTCTTTCAAACTATGATCAGAGAGCATACTTCCTTCACCATATACAGGCTGAATTGAAATTATTCTCTTTTTTTGGTGTGTTTCATATGAATGAAAATGACATTCATTAGCCAAGTCTGTTTCTTGTGTTTCTTTAGTCTCTGTCCGCCTGTATTTCTATCTCTGTGCTAGGAATGTTTCTTTCTTCCCCAAAGCACCTGTGCTAGCAGAATCATCGTGCATCATCAATCATAAGTACTGAGGGATTTTTCATAGTCTAAAATGAGGCAAAGACAATTTCAAATGCATGGCTAGGTTGCTCTCAACCTTAAACTCACTTTCTATTTCTTTTCCTACAAATTTCCATATCTAGATGGGCCATGGTGTTTAGAGACAAACCACAATGGAATATGACCAAAAGCTAGGAAACCTTTTAAAATGAAGGAGCTGTTCAAAAGGGAGCAGCAGGCTACATAGGAGGGCCTGCACATGGAAGTTACCAAGTTAATTTTTTGGGAGTGTCTTGCAAGGAGCAGAAAAGGAAAATTACTTTAAGTGTTTGAAACTGTAAAAATTTGAAATTGTCAAAACCAAACTACAGGAAAACAAAACCAATGCAGCAAATGCAAAGCTCATTTATTGACAGTTGCAATTATCTTGAAACATCTTTCAAGTTCTTCAGCATGTAACTGCTAACTAAATATTGTCTGTGCCATGGAAGTAGCTTCACTAAAAAAATCAGAGACCTCAGGATTTTGATGTTAATTGAGATGCAGTTACACAAATAAAAGAGAAGCAACCCTTGGCTGCTGAATCACAACAAACCCTCACAGTACCAGCTTAGAAAAAACCCAGAAATATTTAATCTTTGAATAGTCGGACCTAGGCATTTAAACCTACAAATAAGTGATTTTTACTAGAGAAGAAAAATACTCGCTTTCTGATCCTCATTAATTTGATTGTAAGAAATTTGTGCCATTGCTTCTACAAGAATAGCATTTAAAAGAACATTCAATTCCTTATATACTGTTACCTTCTTTAACATTTGCAAAGTGCTTTGGCAAAGTGAAGTGTTATCAACATTGCAAAATAGTAGCACTATTACTCAAGTATTCCCTTAAAGAGTGATTCACTTAGTTCTCTGGTTTTACTTACTTCTTTAACGTGAAGAAAATCTTTAGCTTCAAATGAGATGGCCATGCCTGGGACTGGAACATCATCTTCATGGGCTGCACTGTACCCAACATTTGTCCGAACTGCAAATGCAACAGGTTTTGACTGCAAAATAAAAGATGAACATCATGAAGATTTCCCTTGCAAACACATACATACATACAAACAAACATCTACAAGGGACATGATTTCTGTATGTTATGCTTTTAAAATCATAAAAATTACAAAGAGCTCTCAATGCATCCATGCCAAACATAATAAAGACTAGTTTTCACTGATATTAGTTATTAATATCAGCACATTTCATAGAATACGGATTTTCAGTAAGTGACAGAGCTCTGAATTAATCTGAGGTAAGTCAAACCAGTCATTAGTAATCACAGTCCGCTAGGCAATCCATATAATGTTGTCAGCTTGCAGATCTGCAAGTTCTGTGTTTGGGTGCTGCCGCAAGAGGTAGGTTTTCCAGAGCTACAAAATCTAAGCTCCACAGACAATGGGGCTGCAAGCGTGGCACTGCACTTTCCACACCATTCTTGTCTGGGCACCCATGTGCTGGTCACCTCAAGATCATTCTAAGGGTACTACAAGTGCAGCCCTCACAGCCTCAGCCCCTAAGAACTGCTTGGGGAAATTGCGAATTTGAAGGAGAGGTGCCTGCAGTTGCCAGTGATGCCTAAGCAAGTCATCTCACTGCACTCTGAGAGTGGAGCAATGTGTCTTGAGATCATCATGTCATTACCAAATACTAGCCAGAGAGATCTTTCTTTCTTTCTTACGCTGCTAGCTGACATCAGTGAGCTAGAGGATTTTCCCAAGTTTTGTTTCCAAGACGCAGTTGCCAGAAGAGTCACAGAAGCCCCACATCTGCACAGCTTCTCCTTACCAGCACCAGGTGCTGAGCACCTCTCTGCACAGGTATGGTAATAGAAAGTGTCATCCAGCTCAGCCCAGACTACAGCTACCAAGGGTTTCCTCTTCTCAAAGGTACAACCCTTTTATAGGAGAACAACATTTTTTATTCTTTATTCTAGGCTGAACAACAGCTTGAGCTTGCTCTCCTCACAGAGATTATCACACAGCATCCCTAGGACCCATCACAGTCCTACTCCAGGCTGAACCTTTAGTTCACTTTGTCATAACTAGATAAAGGGTCTGAAGGGCATCCTGATATGATTATGTATTCATGATTATATTTCTGAAACTGGGCATTTATGAGAAAAATCACTGAAAACTAAAATTTGGTGATTTCTGCACATCAATTAAAAAATCTTGCAGTGTTGATAAAATGGGAATGTCCACTTCCAAACAGCTCAAGCTCATATTTTAATAATCTCCTCTATAATTTTCCCAATGTTACTCCCACTGTTACCATACATAAAAGATACCAAACTATTACAGAACTAGTCATGCCATGAAAAAAGGAGTCACACAGGCACTGGATTCAGTGATATCATGAATCTTTCTTAAAAATAAAATATACCATAAATTACTGGGCTTGCATAGTCATACAAAACCTCAAAACTTTCCTGAATATAAAAATTACAGATTAATAGAGTTGATGCTTTCTGTGCTATTGCTAATTTCACCACTCAAAATACAGATACGAATAAGCACTGAATTATCAAATCTCCTAAGCAATACTTACCATCAAATAGTAAATAATCAAGTAAGTCATTCCCTGTTATTAAGAACGATCATTTTGTAACTCACAGTGACCTGACACTGTAGAAATATATCTCAGAACCTGGATCTATTAAGGAACAATCTGTGCCAAACACTGATAGGAGAGATAGTATGCTTGCTTATCCGTTCTCACATTGCTACATCCTCTAGTAAATATAAAAAAAAATGTTTAACCTCTGTGACTTACTCCTAAAACTAACAGTGGATAAAAGACTTTAGGTTGACTAAGATTTTAAAATCTCAGCAGCATTGCAACAAACAGACTTCTGCAGGAAGTTAATGTCCTTGACACACTTCTTAGAAGTGATCTAAAATTTCCTTTTAGAAGATAACACCTGACTACCCAAGAAAAAGAATACAATAGAAAATACTCCAGAAGTATCTTAACATGAAAGAAAAGTAGCAGGTGAAAGTTCTCTGTCATTTTATGCCATCAAAAAAAAAAAAAAAAGGAAAACTCTGATCAGAAAAACAAAGCAGAACATTGAGTTACAGATAATCACAGAAATGGTACGTCCCATTTTAGATACTTGTCACACTGGTAGAAAGGGAGACTAAATTATCATGGGATTAGACTACAATAATTCATCTAATTGAATATTTAAAACTAATTAATTTCTAGAAGTTAAATGGTAGCCTTTTTACATAAATAAATAATTCTGAAGGTTTCATAGCATTATCAAATAAAGTACTTTTCCTGAACTACATTGTCTTGAACTAAAAAAGCCCAGTTGTTACGTAATTAGGATCTTATATAAAAAAAATAAAATAAAATATTTGACACATGCACATGTATATTTGAAAATGTATCTAGCATTTGCTTACATACCCTGCAGTTCTAAAATAAGACTGGGTAAAAGCAGTTAAGCATTTGCTGTTCATTCTCTTAATCTCCATGAAAATGGGATGCCAGTTTAGCACTCAGTTAATCCATGGGCTGGACTACAGGGACAGATGCTCCCAGATGTTAAAAAATTTAATATGTAGTGTCTCTCCAGAGAAACAAAGTAGCCTGGAATGGTTCATTTATCTTCAAAATTAACACCTTCATCTCATTTTTCTTTTCTTCTCCTGTGAACGTACAACATTCAACCAGTTTAATAAACCCACAAGGAGAACAATCAGACCACGAACATTTCCTGCATCTATGCCATGAGGGCAGCAGGGAACACACTCTGGAGTGAGGTTCTTCATGAACCAGTTTCAGATTCTGATATAAACTAAGAATATAAATCAAAAAAATCTTATTCAACAACTGTTTAACCAACTTTGGCTGGATACATTTTTGGTAACGACATAAATTAAAGTATGTCTAGAGCAACCCTACTCAATTTTCTCTTTCTCTATTGGGATCTCACCTCTTCCTTTACAAGTTATATTTACTTTACACATCTTCATACCAACTCTCATTAAAAATTTCATACTATTTACAGTATTATTACACTTTACTACTTATATTTCTTTGTGCCATAATTAACTTGTATTGAATGTAAACAATGAGCATTTGCACATTGTATCTGTTTCAGTCAATTTGTCAGTTTAAATAAGTTCATACCAGCATGGTTGAATTTGTATTCAAGAAATATTTCACTCAATAATAGAGCAAAATAATACAATCTGTTCTCTAGTAATGTACTTAAAACATGACAGGATCTTTTTTTTCCTGTAACCAATTTCAGATTTTTTATACTGTGCAATAAACCCAGTGAAGGCAGCCCCTGGGGATCCCAGTCACGGAGACAAAATTTCTGTCATGGAATTTGCTCACAGAACAGGTCATCTCCCTCATGGCTACTAGTTTTGTAATTGTTGCTTGATAATCAAAGTATCTCCATTCCTCATCCACTACCAGGATGTAGAAAAACTGATGAAAGCATTCTCCAAACCATTTACATCTAAAATTTGTCTTGATCTTGGATCTCTGATCCATTTTATTTCTTACTCTGTTACATCACCCCCACAGTAGAGGCATCTCTGTATTTAGACCAGTTTAAATGAAATAAGAATGCACCTTTATGAAAGCAGTGCCAGCTAAGACAAGAACTGACTCAGAAAATGATTAGTTACCATTTTGACAAAACGCTTGTCAAAGTTGGTGCCTGTGTTAAAGTTCAGAAAATGTGTCTCAAAGCAAGTTCATTCCCTCCCTATGTCTTCATAAAGCTATCCATCCTTCATCCTATCCACTTTTCACACATGCATGCAACCTTATCCTGAAAGCAATGAATAACTCTTCTCTTGGGTAATGAATATAATGGGTGTCTCTCAAATCACTAACAAGTTTGCACTCATGAAAATTTAAAAAGTCACCATTTCTTTCATCTGAGGAAAGGTGATTACTGCTACTACTGAACTATTCACTTGTAGTCTTAGTGGGGAGCAAATATGACAGCTGATGACTTGTGTTCAGCATTATTTTCACAGAGTAGCCCTGTATACAGTATTTGCACCATCAACAATATTAATATTCCACATAGGACCAAGATCAATAGCACTGTGATGACCTAATGACTCTTGTGTTGAAAACATCTCCCTTTATTTTGCCCTGCTATATATTTTGACAAAATAGTGTCAAATATATAAATCAGAAGCAGTTCAAAACATCTATGTTTTACAGAATTACATGATTTTTATTACTATTATAAAGAAATCTTCAATGTTATGAAACCTATACCGTCACAAAAGCAGCTTGAGAGTGCAAACACAAAAATAATAAAAGAACTTTTCTATTTTACCTTTTTTACTTTGTACACTAATTCATGCACCCATTACACAAGAAAGAAAAATCAAACCCACCTGAGAACACAAACAATTTACAGGAAATTTTTGTCCTAAATGCTGATTATTGCTGGAGACTAATGACAGACGGGAAATTGTCCAGTCTTAACAATCTCTAGCATTTGCTCAGCAATCTCATTCCTAAGGAAACAATGACAATTCATGAATGTCCCAACAGAAAATTAGGAACATATACAGATGTCACTAAAAGCAGTGATGAAAAATATGACTTGCCAGCAAAGATCAGGCTGTCCTTTACAGCCACAGTGTGTGTACCAAACAAGCCTGGTAGGAAGCCAGAACCACAAAATAATTGAGGTAGGAAGGAGCCTCTGGTGTCTTTCAGTCCAACCCCTGCTCAAAAGAAGGCCTGTCTGATCAGGCTGCTCAGGGCTGTGTCCCAATGAGTCTTAAACACCTTCAAGGACACAACAACATAACCTCTCCTGCCATCTTACTCCACTGTATTTGACCACTGTGGTTGCGAAAAAAACATACAGGAACTATAGTTTTCTCACATATCAATGAGTGAGGAACAGAGAAATCCACAATAGAAAACAAATACTTAGTTTTATAGTCTAGTACAAGCAAAATGAAGTGTTATTACAAGTAGAATTTATCAATTACCAGTTTTAATTGTA